TTTTTGCGCGTGTTGCTTGTTCTAGACGTACAGTGCAGTCAGTAGTACCTTGGCTAGAAACCATGCGGCAGGTACTCTGGGTCAGGGTGGGGGAGGGGGGGTGGTGGTTCCCTTGTTTAGCAGCCCCGATGCCGTGATGTGATGTAACCCGAGTTTTTATAACCGGTGAGAAGGAAAGATGTGATTGACTGCCTTATAAAACCGGCGCCGTCGTCTCTATCCTAAGGCGGGTTGATGGTCTTTCCGGCGGATTGGGACGGGGCGGGCCATGTCGTTGTTTGGACCCCCCCTGGTCCAGGGCAGGCACGTCAAAACAGCCCCCATCCCCCCTCTGGATGGATGGACTTCTAGGCTGGATCTACCTGATCGACGCAGGCATCTTCGGGCTGCTGCGCCGTCGAACAGCGCTAGTGCCAGCGAAGGTAACCTCGCTCGCAGCAAGGGATTTTTATTTATTTAATTTTTAAGGTTAGCTACTGGGTCAAGGTTATCAGAAGAGTCCACATACCTGGGCCACAGCATTCGAATTGCCCACCTCATAGTAGGCTAACCCAGTTGGGGCCGAATTGGAGAAGCTCTCGCCTGGAGCCGGTGCTACTCCACATTGCATGGCAGACGACGAGAAGAAAAACCAATTGATTGGAATATTCCACCGTCGTGGTCACTGCTTGCTGGAAATCCCCAATGGAGCGTCGGGTCAAGAGCAGCTCAGACAGGCTTGATTCACAGTCGTTTTATCCGCCAACGCCCGTGCCGTGCCGCTGTGATGAAGAGATAAAAACCCCACGCCTCACTGCAAGCTGCCGCGTCGCGGCTAGCGATTGCTCTAGGAGGTGCGACTTGAAGCGAGACCACCAGATGACGTAGTTGGATTTTTTTTTGGGCTGCTTCTGGGTAGGTCGACAACCCTTCATTCTTTGTTCTTGCCGACGTTATTAGTTCGACCGCTGGCGTTGCCCGCTCACCCCTTGCAGACTTTTCCTGTCCAGCAATTTCCTGCCAAGCAGGTTATACGTCTGGGTCCCTCTCCAGCTGCATCTCTGCCTGACCCCTCCTCATACATACATGCACCAAGAAATATATCCCAAGGAGAACCAACCCCACCAAAGACTCGCCGCGGCCATGGCAGCTGACGGCGCCGCTGTCGGATCCCGCCTAGACAACGCCAAGGAGAATCCACCCCTGACTGCCTCTGACGGCGACCCTGTGCCGCCGACCAGGCTCAGCTTGGTCAAGTCCGACTCGACCGCCTCAGCCGGCTGCTTCTCCACCAAGTCGGTCGTCTCGGTCCCCGTCACGGGAAGCCTCCCTTACGGCACCCTCCGCGTCCACCAACCGCCGTCCCCCGCGGCCACTCCTCCTCCTCCTCCTCCTCGCTCGTCCGATTCCCCGTCCCCGTCCCTGCCTCCCCTGGCGTCAGACGTCCTCGACCACGGCGATGTCTTTCTGATCCTCGACCTCCCCCCGGGCTTCCTGGTGGGCTGCGACACCACGGCCCTGACCACCCAGACCGCGCGCCCGGTGCTCGGCTTCAGCGCCATCCCCCCGGGAGCGCACCTGGTCTTCGTGGCCGACCCGGCCGGCCTGTCCCGCTGCGGCTACTGGTTCGTCACCGGGGAGGCGGCGGCGGCGCGCGGCGAGCCGAGGGTCAAGCAGTGGGACCGGTACAACGAGGTCCTCGGGGCGCCCGCCAGCCGCGTCGAGGCCCGCAGCAGCATCGAGGACCTCGGCTCGGCGCGCGCGAGCCTCGTGCCCTACAGCCGCACCCGCCGGGCCGGCGTCGGCGGCGGCGGCGGCGGCCCGGCGCCTCCGCGCAAGGATCCGCCGCGCAGTAGCGGCCCGGCGTCCCCAGACCCGGACCTGGCCCTCGACGACGAGGTTGCTCTCTGGCACCACCTTACTTCGTGCATCACCGAAGCGCTGCTCGGCCGCGTCACGGGGAACGCGGATCCCTCGGCGTCCGAGTGGCTCGTCGACACGGCCGACAGCGCCAAGGGGGAGGTCAACTTCGCGCAGGCCAGCAAGCTGTTCAAGACCGTCATCGGCAGCGAGCTGACCTTTTTGTTCTCGCCTCAAGACTCGGCCCTCGGCCTTCACCTCGTGAACCTAGACGCCAACGCGGCCGACGATGGCGAGAGCGACCGGGCAGTAGCAGCAGCGGCGGCGGCGGCTGCTCCAGGCACCGCTGCTACTACTGCTGCTGCCCGGTCGTCGTCGCCGAGACGGCCGGACACTACTCTGCTGGTCGAAAACGCGCTTGGCGGATCCGGGATCGCCGAGGCCGACCTCACCGGGGAGCTCCAGTTCGTGTTCCTCACGGCCATGCACCTCGGCAACCCTTCGTGTCTAGACTACTGGTTCCACCTGGTCCTCAAGATAATCCTGCGCGCGCACCAGCTGGCCGTGTCACGACCCGCGCTCACCCACTCCCTCATCCTCACTATACACGCGCAGCTGGTCTACGGCGAGCGCCACATGTCCGACGGCGGCGGCGGCGACGACGACGACGAGGGCCGCCGCGCGGGGATCCTGGAAATGGCGCCGCAGCACCAGGCGCGGCTGCGCGAGGCCCTGACGGTGTACAAACGCATACTCAACGGCTCGCTCCTAGGGCTGGGGGGCGCCATCACCGGGGAGCAGGCGGCCGTGGGCCAGGCCTTTTCGGACCTCGAGGCCTGGTTCTGGAAGTACGGCTGGGACCTGCGGAGCGACTACGTCCCCGAGACCCTCGTCGTCGCCGTCGTCGCCGAGGAGCCCCACCGCCGCCGCCGCCGCGGCCTCGAGGCGGACCCGGGCGACAGCGACGACGACGACGACAGCGAGTACCAGCCCGTGCTGGTCGAGCTGGACGAGAACGGACGCGAGGTCGGGCTGGTCTCGTGGAGCTCTTAAGTCTACGGACTTGCTTGCCCAAGGCTCGCGGTTTAGCGGTGATTTTGCGTTGCCTATGGGGAAAGAAACCCCTCTGGCTGGCTGTAATGGCAATAGATGGACGTAATCGTGGCTGGCACATTAGCCCTGCCTACAACGGGGGCTTTTTCAGCGGGGAGCTGGTGGTCTGGGCTGATTCGTTTTCTTCCGTCTTCTTCTTTTCTTCCCGCTCCATGCGTTGTATTCTCGTTGCTCGCAAGCCCAGTGTTTATGTATGATGACGACTTGCAGATACCCAAGCAAATCTAGCGCAGGCGTGGTTGAATGAATCGGAGCAATTGTGGACATCAGCCCTTGGCCCCCAGAAGAGACTGTGAATGGGTGCGGTACGTCACTTGGAGCGCGGTTGGGCAGACGCAGGGCATGTGTCATCGATGCTTTCATGTCTTTTGGACCCAGCGCCTCAGACCCCGGCGCATATTTTGTTCGTTGTTTCGCCGCCAAAACCCGTTTACACCCAAGCCCCAGAAAGAAGGCATGCCATGCAAGTATAGCGCATAAAATAAATCAAGCAAGGGTTTCCTTTACCCGCCTTTTCCCATTGACTCCGCAACGAAAAGAGACGAGCGCGCTGCCGTCCGTCCGGCCGGCCGTGTGTGCCGGTCGTCTATGCCGCCTCGCCGCGCCTCCGCCCCGGAGGCAGGCTCGCGCGGCCACCAGACACAGGCCATCCATAGGTGGAACCGTCCGACACAAGTGCCCTCCTCCCTCCGCCAAGCGCAGAAATAATACCACAAAGGGACCCAAAATACATAGATTAACGGTACGACTTCTGGAACCTGGAGCGGGCGCCGGGACCACCGAACTTCTTGGGCCTATAGTGGGAAGTCTGTCAGTTTCTTCCGTCGTCGCCTTTTCTTTGCGTCTTGGCTTAGTCAATGTGAGAAAGAGGGGTTGTACGTACTCGCAACGGCGGTTGTCGGCGACCAGAAGGGTACGGTCGTACTGTGTCAGGGCCTGCTTGAGCAGGTTCTTGCTGTGCTCATCGACATACTTCTGGTAGTAGGCAACGATCGACTTGGCGATGGCCTGACGGACGGCGTAGACTGTGCGTAGGGAAGGAATGATCAGGTCAGACACCAAGGTTCCGCAATTCTCCCGTTTTGCTCAAGCCAATCCATCCTCCCCTCCAGACGGTGCAGTTCCTCGTACCTTGCGAAGTGTGACCACCACCGGTGACGCGGACGCGGATATCAACGCCCGAGACCTGGTCCAGGCCAATAACCAGGAGAGGCTCGTAGACCTATATGAAGAGCAGCGGGCCCAGAGGTTAGCAAAGAGTGTTCACACTCAACGTCCTTTGCCCGCCCACCGAGCGCGTCGCTCCTCTTCCCCTCGCCTAGCCAGCCAGCGGTTCCCCTCCCTCCCTCCCGTGGGTGCATGTCTGTGCCTCGGTGCTTTTGCGAACTCGTCGCATAGTCGACCAGCACCCGAATTCCTTCTTTTCCTTTTCCCCTTCACACGGACATGCACCATTTGATTTTTCAACCTGCGAGAGGTTCGCGTTGGAGGGAGGGGTTTCCGTGCTCGCTTCAAGGCCGACGAGGGATGACGACAGAAGCACGACGTTCTCGGTAGGCAGCGGGCTACAGATGAGGGTGAGAGATTGTGCGTGCCTTGTACCGCAGCGTGGCGGGCTCGACGAGGGACAGCGGGCGGCCGTTGACCTTGATCAGGCCCTGGCCCTTGACGCACTGGGCGACGGCGGTGGCCGTCCTCTTCTTGCCGAAGCACTGCACGCCCTGCTTGCTGGTGGACATTTTGGCGGATTGTGTGTTTTTTTTCCCCCTGACTGTCGGTCGGTCGGTCGGGTCTCGGTCGGTCGAGAAAGGAAAGATGTGAGGATGCGGGCGTGAGTCGTCGGTGGGCGCTTCTTTTTTTTCGGTTGCAAGAGGTTGTCGAAAAAGAGAAAGCCTCTCCTCGCCAATTTGCCCTGGCCCACCGCGCTCACACCAAAGGATGAGTTAGGGCATGGTGATGGTCCGTGCATGTGGTCACGTGGGGCCAGCGTTTGCGACCGGACCAAGACGACCTCAGCCACGGAAGGGCGGGCCGGTGCGGGGCCGCGGTCGGGACCCTCTTGGACCGGCGCCGTTCATACCGTCTTATGGGCGGCCATCCCCTCCTCCAAACAGGCAGGCAGACAGACAGACAGACAAACAGACGTCCCAAGAAAGACCATGTCCCGCAAGGGCGTCGGCCTCGCGGCCTTTGACCGCAGCCGGCTGACGTCGGCGCAGTACGCGACGCACGGCTCGGCGCTGCGGACCACCAACGCGCAGGCGCTCGAGACCCAGCTGTCCGTCTTCCGGTCGCTGCTGCAGCAGTTCGCCCACACCCACGCCAAGGACATCCGCTCCGACCCGGCCTTTCGCGCCCAGTTCGCCCGCATGTGCTCCGCCATCGGCGTCGACCCCCTGGCCAGCAGCTCCAGCGGCGGCGGCGCCAAGGGCGGCGGGGCCGGCGCCTCCATCTGGGCCCAGCTTCTGGGCACGTCGGTCAACGACTTCTACTTCGGCCTCGCTGTCCGCGTCGTCGAGGTCTGCGGCGAGACCAGGGGCGAGAACGGCGGGCTGCTCGAGGTGAAGAAGGTGCGCGAGATGATTATGCGGGGCCGCATGGAGGGTGCCGCAGAGGTCACAGAGTGAGTGAGAGCGAAAGAGAGAGAGATGCAACCCCCCAGGAACCCCGTGCTCTTCGACTTGCTGACCCCCCCACGCCCGCTAGGGACGACATCTTCCGCGCCGTGGGGACCCTGAAGCCGCTGGGGTCCGCCTACTCCATCATCAGGGTCGGCAACAAGCCGTACATCAGGTCGGTCCCGCGGGAGCTCAACACGGACCAGAGCGCCGTGCTCGAGGCCGTGCAGGTCCTCGGCTACGTCAGCGTCTCGATGCTCATGGTGAACCTGCGCTGGGCCCGCGCCCGCGCGCAGACGGCGCTCGAGGACCTGGTCGGCGAGGGTATGCTCTGGGTCGACAAGCAGAGTGACGAGTGGGAGTACTGGAGCCCCGGCTTCATGCTGGACCCCCAGGAGTCCCCCGGCGATGGGTGACTGCTCCCCCTGGGTGTTTTCGAATCTCCCTCACGGAATAGCGACGCACTATCTTGAGCCTACCTTCTCCGGCCGTAGAGGAGTGCATGGGCGTCATGAGCCGGGCAAGTGTCTCTCGGGGTTCCGAACCCTAGGAAAAATCAGGGTACCCAGGCTCATTCATGCATGCGTCGTCTAGCACCCTCAGCTCTTTGGATGGGTAAACCCTCATGGACCAAGTCAGCCCACACCCGCGGCTCAAAAACTTGGTCTAGCCACGAGACGCGAGATCATCTCACTCAACATGCGCCTTGCTTGTCTCTTGGGTCTACAGAACATTGCTGCGGCTGTGACTACAAGGAGGAGCAGGCATGTTTCTGTGGTGCCAAGAAAGTTGGATTATGCGGGTTGATATGCTGTTTCGTCCTCCCGCCTAACACCCAACACCCAATAAAGGGATCATATTATGGCTTCCCGTGGGTAGCATGTCACTTTGGCTTGGCGGACAAGAAGCGACCAGGCACACATCTAGTATTTTAATTATTTGTATTTCCGCCCTGGTTTTGACGAGCGGCTCTGGGACAAGATCATACGACATACATAACTACCATTATCCTACCTATCTGCCCGCCGAAAAAAAAACAGAAACACAAGGACTATAAAACGAAACATGAAACAACAGAAAGAAAACCCTATCCGACAGGGCGGTACAGACTGGATATAAACAGCGTATGTGATAACACGTAGGACGATGATCGTGACCGCCACACGCACCGACGCCGATTTCCTGTCCCGCCGTCACAAAACCAGGCCACACCTGCCCGACCGTAAGTAAACATGGTATAAATGTACCGGGCTATGTGGTCTCATGAGGCCGCGTACTTGAGAACAGATATCCCGACGATGCCCACGATCCCCAAACCACCCCTGCCGTGACAACCAGAAAAATGTTCGTCTAGGGACCACGACGACCATCGACATACCTCGGATATCCCACAGAGCAGCCTCGCTTCGTCTGCATCATAGTCCTCTCCTCACCACATCCGAGAAAAGAGGGCGCCACGCCGCCGACGACTCCTAGTAGGGCGGGTTCGGGCCCATCGGGGGGTAGTCTTCAGGACGGCCCATGGAGCCTGGAGGGCCCATATGACCCGGGGGGCCCTGCGAGCCATGGGAGCCATGGGGACCGGGGCCCATGGAGCCGGGACGCGGGCCCGGGCCCGAGTCGCCAAAGTGCTTCTTGCGCAGGGCGGCGAGGCGCTTCTTCTTGGTCATGGTGTTGATGTAGGTGCCGATGATGAAGGACACGAGGTTGAAGAAGGGCACCCAGGTGTGCTCGGGCAGGAACTTCTGGGCAAAGGCCAGACAGATGGGCGACGTGACCCACGAGATGCGCATGACCTTCCAGAAGCCGACGCGGACTGTGGCGCGGACCTGGTGGTAGGTGCGGGCGCCGGCGATGAGGGCCATGGCGACCAGGTAGACCGAGTTCTGGATCGGGGCAACGATGAGGTTGCTGACGATGATCTGCATGATCTTGGCGCGCAGGCTGGTCCGGTTCTTGAAGATCTTCTGGAGCAGCCAGATGAGGAAGTGGCCCATGGGGGCCGACACGAGGGCGCCGTAGGCCGCCATCTTGGGGACGCGCGACGTGAAGTAGTTGCCGTGCTTGTTGCGGTCCTTGGCCAGCCACGAGGCCAGGAACTCCTGGGAGCCGGCGAGGGTGCCGGCCGTCAGCATCTTTGTGCGCAGCGGGTTCTCCTTAAGCTGCTTGAGGTAGGCGGCCAGGTAGCCCTTGGTGCCGGCCATCTCCTTGCCGCCCGTCAGCGCGGTGCCGATGGCGGCCGAGACGGGGTGCTTGCCGCTCGTGCCGGGCAGCGGCTTGACCTGCTCGGCGAGCTTGGTAGCGACATTGTCGGCCACCCGCGACACCGTCTGGACCGTGTCCCGCTCGACTTTTAGAGACATGGCGACGGAATTGGGTCGCTAGATGAGCATCTAAAGTGGCTCGAGTTCGAGGGGTGGTGCGCGTGCGGCTTGACTGGGCGTCTGTCTGGCGAGGCCGCGGATGAGCAGCGGGCGAGACGACGAGCGACGACGATATGACAGCCGCGAGCGTCTTCTTCTTCTTTCTTTGCGGCGGGGACGGGAACCCGCAAGACGAGGTGGCGAGTAAAAAGAAAATAAACGAGCGCGACCAAAGACTTGCTAGGCTTCGGCTGGATGGAGTATCGCGCGATGGTGGCTGCACAACAAGGCAGGACGAAAAAGCGAATGCAAGAAACAAAATAAAAATCGGGGTGGTGGGCAGGCAGGTTGACGGGCCGTGTAGTGTGCAGAGCGCAGCAGCGTGGTGTGTGGTGTGTGGTGTGTGGTTGTCGGGTGTGGTGGTGGTGGAGGTCTGGTGCTTGTCTGGTGAAAGAGCGTGGGTGGTTGGGGGTTCCAATCGAGGCCCAGCCTGCGTGGTGCTGCTCGAGCTGGGGAGCTCGGCCAATGGTTTGTTTACCGACCCCATTTTGGCCCGAGGCCTGCTTTGCTTGATCTGGTTACGGCGACAACTACCCACACCAATTGAGCCCCCCGAACCCACCACAGCACGCAGGAGTCTGAGGAGAGCAGGGGGGGGACCCACCAGCGCCCGTCAAAGCTCATTCGCGATTGCACCAGAGCGACCAGGCACGGGCGGTAGACGTGGAGGCATTATTGTTTATGTATCGTTGAATGCACAGCAGAAATCACAGCAGCCGGGCAGGCGATCACCGCCTTTTTGCCCAACTTCCCAGCAATTTGGGAAAGAGAGAAAGAGAGAAAGCAGAAAATAAAAGACAAAACACAGCTGAAATCAACCACACGAGACCCAAGCAACCCACTCATCCTCACCTCGGGCTGCTCCTCCACTCTCCCAGCCCACGACGATCGATCCATTGCCAGCGTCGGGGGCATGTGTTGCGCGATTGAAGTCGCGGCCCAGCCCAGCCCCCCCAGCGCCGACCAATCAGGCGGTGGGGCCAAACGCAAGAGACGCGATCCATTGCCAATTGCCTCTGTTCCTGGCCCGGCTGTGTGCGCTGCGCCGACACCCAACGTTACCTGACGTTACCTGGGGAAAGCCCTGGCTGTGGGCCGTCGTGCTGTGGTGCCCTGTCGCCCTGATTGGCCAGCTGCAGGGCTGTCGACGTCAAGCTTGGCCGGCCGTCATCTCCCTGTCGATGCTGCTCCCAGCCATTTCCAGACCCAATTTCCATGTTGTCCCTCCAGGAACACGCCGAGCTGCGATGTGCACGCCTTGTGCACATTTGCTGTGAGCATTGATGTTACTCCCGGATGCGTGCGTATGGTTTATTGTCATCGCCCAGGCGCATGCAAGGAGACACGCCCACCATAACAAAGATGGCAGTCCCACCTACGTCGACAACAAAAAGGCCATTAGGACTGCAAGACCAGGCACAGGAATCACCACAAAACAATGTGATAAAAAGAGAAATAAACAAAATAGAAAAGCCCATAGAATTAACCACTCTAATCCCTAGGATTGCCCTTTTTTGGTGAGCGTGGCCGATTAGATATAATGCAGAGGTGCCTTTCCAGCGCACGTAAATCTCCACATCCTGCCGGCTTCTCGCCCGTCTCCCGACCCATCCCGACCCTATCGTCGCCCGACCAAATCCTCCCTCTCCCTTCTCCGCCACCATCAACGCCATCGCCGCCAAGAGATATACTCTGTATGTTCCGTATCGGTGATCCCTCATCATCGCTAGGGCCCTTGACCTTGGCGGCCATCGCTCGGTGGATGCCCGAGTGCAGGCCAGGAGTGCGGGGTGGTGCCAAAGGCCAGGCATCCCTCAGGTGGACGCCCTGGCGTCTTCATTATTGCTATTCCTGGCCCGTGTATATTTACCTTTCTTGCTCTGTGCCATGACGGCACATGGCGCCGCGTATTTGCCATGAGGCTCTGCGAAGGGGCCATTCGAAGGCAACACTATAATGGCTGGACTACTCGACTCGTGAGGGGAGCCCGAACGAGTTCTGATAGCATTGTCATGGTATCCCATTTCCACCTATTAAATACGCACCATTTACTTCTTTCTATTATACCTGTGACCAAGACTTGCTTTCTGATGGCAATCTGAGTAGAGAGTGATGATGATCAGTGCCAGCCACAGATTGGAATCAAATATGCAACGAATGGCTGAAAAATTCAAGAGGCAACATGTCGCCTCGTGCTGTTTCGTCCAGTCTTTTTTCCCAACCCGACTCCATCTACTCAAGGCGAACCACAACCAAGCCTAGATAGAGCCAGACACGTCCTTTTCCAACCAAGGCATCTTCTCTACCGATGAGATACCAAAACACACCCAGCCTGACAAGATACCCAAACACAGCAACCACCCCCACCTCGAGATACGATACAGTCACAGATGGACACAACTACCGCCACGTCTCCCTGCCAAGGTGTTCTAGTCGTCCACTATGGCAGCACCATCGAGTCCCGACGGGGATGACGAGTCCACAACTAGACATCTGCCCGGCCCACGCCAGCACCAGAGCGACTTGAAGCCTCGCCAGTCCGGTGATAGGAACATCACCAGCACGCGCGTGACCGCAGCGGCCAGGCCTCTCCCCACCCCGCCCGTGGCACAACATTCTACTACCGACGTCACTCTGCCACCTGCACCGTTGCCTCCCTCGGGGGGCGCCGCGCCTCGCTCTGGCCTCACCGCCTCCTCCTCGGGCCGCAGGGTCGCGCCCAGGCGGTTCCACGAATGCACCCACACCACCCTTGTCCGCATGTACAGCCGCCGCCACGCCTGCGAGTCCTGCAGCAGGCTCTCGCCCGAGGGCTACGTCTTCCGCTGCGTCCAGGACCGCGAGCTGATCCTAGCCAACCGCACCCGCCACGGCCAGCTGGAGCACGCGGCGTTCGACCGGCTGGGCCGCCAGCTGGCCGGCCTCGTCTTCGGGCGCGGCGGTGGGGCCCAGCGGCACGCCGAGAATGTCGTCGCCACCGCCACCACCACCGCCACCGCCAGGGACGCGGCGCTCGGGGAGAGGACGGCAGCGGCGGCGGCCGAGACCGCGCCCTACAGTGAGGTGCAGATCGAGGAGCTGGCCGGCCAGCGGAGGCGCGCGCTCCGCACCGCCAGGGATGACACCTTCCGGGCCCTCTACCCCCGCACCGCCCCCGGGATCCTGCGCCGCCGCATGGATTCCATCGTGGACACCTTCCTGGGCGAGGCGCCATGGGTCCCGCAGGAGCAGGACGAGTGCCGCCTCAGCGTCTGCCGGCAGTGCCGCCCCTACTACTCTGAGAGGTGCTTCTTGAGCCTGGGCGGGATCGCCGACGGCGACGTGCCGCCGACGGCCGCTCTGGGATTCGGCTTTCACGTCGACGAAAGCAGGCCCGTTATCGATGTGGCCGTGGCCAGGCGTCTTGGCCGTTGCATTGTCTCCAAGGTGGGCGGTTGTGATGTACCTGTTTCTATGTCGTACCAGGGCTGCTTGACTGACTGCTCCACACACGCACACACAACACACAACAGCAGGATACCGATCACTGCCGCAACGTGCCGCCTCCGCCTCCGTTCGACCTCATGGAGCTGATCCAGGCACACCTCGACGGCGCTGATGATTCGCAGGAACCCATGGACAAAAGCAAGCCTCGAGCCCCGTCGCTTGACGGCAGTCGCGAAACAACCCCTCGGAGTGCTGTCGAGGCAAGCAACAGCTACACAACGGACACGCCGCCGTCTCCACCGTCCTGCGAGCAGACTGCCCGCTGTGCCACAGCGGTGTTGCACAGCAGCGCTCCGCGCCACCTCCTTGATGACGGGGAGCTGGCCTGCGTGCCAACTCACTCTGGGCGGCCCCTTTCATCCAGCCGAGAGCCGCTTGACGGTGCAGGTCGGACCCCGCTGCCTCGACCAGAACAGGACGAACCTGTAGTATTTGCAGTGGGTACGAAAGCCTCGCCAGCTGCTGCCAACTCGACCGTCGAGCCCAGCGGGCCACCCCCACGGTCCGGCCACGGGTTCGTGCCCAAGACGACCATGGAACAGCAAGAAGAGGCGGACGGCGTCTTTGGGGCGGGGCCGCTGGTTGTGCCCGGTGGGCTCGCGGTAACCGAGGAGGGCGTCGAGATGGGCATTGCAGACGTGGCCGCCACAAACGTAGGATGAGCCAGCTCAGGGCCTCGCCCGGATAGACCCTGGTGTTAAAAACTGGGGAAGTGGAATAACTCGTTTGGGGTGGGCTCAGGGTCCACTTTTTTAAAAACCCAAACATCTGATAGGGCTTGTAGGTCAGAAAGAAACAGGGTGGGTGGAGAGGGGACACAGGATAAACCGAGACTTGACTACGAGAACGGGCCAAGCAACAGCAGTGCATTGCAGGCTGGGCATAGTGAACCCACAGCGATGCTCTTGTAATGATTGAGTCTAGATAGGTTATTGAGTTGCCCGTCCCGGATTTGGAAGCATGCCAGCTGTTCCGTCGGGTGGGGTTTGTAAGTGAAGCGAGCTTGTGTTCAGATAGTCGGGGGCATGCGGGTGTGGGGGGGTTTCTGTCTAATCCAGGTCCATCTTTGTCCAGTTGGGGTCGTCCCGGGGCCGCCACGGCTTGATTCCCAGGGGTTTCTTCAGGCGGCCCTGTCTGGCCCGCTCCATGATCTTGACCGTGGTCTCGTCGTTCATGGCCGCCTTGAACTCCTTGACGTCCCCCATGCCCTTGCTGACCGACTGCTGCAGGAACGCAAAGAGCTCTTCGGCTGGGCGGGCGAGGGGCCACGGCGTGGCATGTGTTAGATGCAAGCAAACCTTGGAAAACCAGGACAGAGGACAGGGCCGTGCAAAAGGGGGCAGGACACAAATGAACCAGGTAACACTTACGGGTCTCATGGGAGCGCGTCTCGGCGGCGGGCTCGATCATGCGCGGGACCGTTGACCGGAGCTTTCGGAGCTGCGTGTGTTGTGCATTGCCAGTCGGTCAGCGGTGAAGGGTGCAGGGCAGGGCGGGCCCGGTCAGGTAGGCTCCAGCCCAGCCCAGCCCAGTTGGGCACCCAGGTATATGCGGCTTGCCTTGACGTGCAGCTCGTGGAGGTGCTTGAGGCTTGCTTCGTAGCGCGCCTCATCCCAGTTGTCGTCCCTCGCGGCCGTTGGGGCCGGGGCCGTGTTCTCACCCGGGACCTGGCGGTTGGAGGCCATGGTTCTGTTGGGTCTGGGCTGGGGAGGTGTCCGGCTGCGTATCTCGGGAGGTACCCGCCTATATAGGTAAGTCATCCCTGAGTGGATTGACATGTCCACCAAAAATACGCCAAATGTCAAAATGTGGGGAACCTGCCAGATGCCCTCCAGAATAAGACTTGCGTCGTCTGTGGTGGGCGTGCCGACTTGGCCATCAGGTACATCGACAGCAATAAACAACCTTCTAAAAAGCGTCAATCGCACAGCTGGACAAGGCAAAAGGGATATGAAAAGTATTTGCAGCCTTGCATCGCATCTTGGGGGTATTTTTCACGACTTTATTTTTTGCAACTTGATTGAGTTGAGAAGGATATATTCTGCCTGAGGCCATTGTTCTTTTGGTGTGCTGTTTTTCTTTCCTTTTCTTTCTTTTCTTCTTCTTTTTTCCCCCACGACGTGCACCCAAAATGCCGCAAAAAGACCTCAGAACACTCTGGGGCCTAGAAGTCATGGTCTGTCTTCAGCGTCAGGTAGCACAGGCCATTGAACAACTTCACACTAGGATCGAGGATCTGGGTCGAAGATCAGGGGGGATGGCTATTATGGTGGACTAAGGAAGTAGGAAGGTAATGATGGAAGATTGATGTGAGCCTGAAAGACCCATTGTAAAACGTGAAGAGGCCTGGACAAGCAACCGTTTTCTTCTGTCTTCTGTCGGAGGAGATGTCCCTTGGCATCGGACGGCCCGACCTCGGTCGGCTTCTTGGCGGCCTTCTCTCAAGCGGACCTTTCCCGACCAGTCTTCCTCACCTCGGCCTTTGCCTTGGCACTGGCGGCTACTTTGGCCTCGAGCTCATGGACCTTCCGCCTGACATCGCCGGCTAGGTTCTGGCCGCTGCCTTCGGGTTGTTTCCCCTTGTCCTGGCCGCCTCCTTCCCTCGTTCTCCTTCATATCTTACGGGGTTTCCTTAAAGCCAACCTGACGGCTGGGCTGTTGGCTCCATTCCTCGCTCTGGGCTGGCTACCAGGTCCAACTGCCCGTCACCACCATCATCCATGGTGATCTCGCCGCTCTGCTGGGCCAGCGCCTCCTGGTGGGGCCCTTAGTTGATACAGATGAGTTGACCCAGATCATCCTCTTAAGCTTGCCCATGAACATTCGGCTCGGGGCTGTAACTCCCCGCGAATGCCCGGCCACGCGTCATCGATGTCGGTGAACTCGATGGGGGTTGGGTCGCCTCACATGGAGAAGAGTGCAAAGGAGGGAGGCGGGGACTTGCTACTCGCCTCGACCAAGTCGTGGAGGTGCTAGTTGGGCGGTATAGAAGCGTTCATGTAAACGGGTTTCAACAGCGGGGCGTACCAGTTTTGGCCATTCAAGCAATACAGGGCTTTAGTCTCGAGTCCCGGCGGTGTCGGAACGGGGCCAGGTCGGTAAATGCCCAGGCAGTGTACACAAGCCCATCCGGGCGGAGCAGGCCGTCCGCCAAAACGAAAGGGGGTTACCACAAGCAAAACAGACATTCACCACGACGTTGTCTATCTCTCACTCACCCCTCTGCGCACAGACACATCTCTTCTCACACGCTCTCCTTGGCGCACCGGACGGTCACAGTGAGCTGTGTGCCAGGCAAGGAGAAACAAACCGGTATGTCGACGGCAATCGCAGAACCAAATAAAATAAAAAATAGAAAGAAAAAAAGTGGGGGACGGAGTCGCCCACCGATGCAAGGGTGATGCCAAGGCACAAGAGCCGGCCGTTGGGTGTCGAGAGTTGAGAGTCTGAAAAGATGGGCCGAAGTTTGAGCCGGTGGCGGCGGCGGTGGCGGTAAGTCAATCCCGGCCGGGCAAGCAAGTCATCAGCTCCTCGAGCGGGAAGTGGGTTGCTGGGCACGTCTGCTCCAAGCTAAAAAGCTCCCAAGCGAAAAGCTGGCGGCCCAGCGGTGCGTGGTGGGAAGGAGGGAAGGTCTGGCTCGTGCGACCAGGGGGCCTCCCTGTCCCCCTCCACCTCCACCCCAACTGATACGAAGCAGCCTGCTGCCAAGCCCGCTACAAGCTCGTCGCTGCACGTCCCAGAGTGGCCCACCCACCTGCAGCCTGTGCTGTGCGCTTGCCCACCCGGACTGATGTTCCGGCGTGCTTGTGCTTGTACCTACTTGGGCTGCAGGCTACTTGTCGACCACGACCGACCGGCTGATTGACTGCTTGACTGATTGACTGGTCGATGGGCTGCGGTTGAAGATTTGGCTTTCCATCCCGGCCGACTGGTGATCATTATATTCCCGGTCCCGCCATCCAGGACATGGCGCATGCACCCAACCTCCAAGACGTGCACAGGGCAATGTGTGCAAAAATAGGTACCGCCAAAAAAACCACCCAGTTCCAGATCAAGAAAAACACGCGTCAAGCGAACAAACGGGAAACAAGCACCGAAGCAGGGAAGCGGAGAAGAAGCTGCACATCTGTTAGGGGTAGAGTCAACCTCGCATGTTTTCGTGTCCACCGCTTGCGTCGAAAGGGCCGGCTAGGTCGAGAACAGCTGAGGGAGCATCTGACATCGATTGGCAATTGGTTCAATCATTGGCAAACCATCCCAAAATTCTAGCGGCAAAAGGGAACCTCGCGCAGACCAAGCGCACACTGAACGGGCCCCTGGTAGCATCCGTGTTGCCACCCATCACCACCACTAAAGGATCGAATCTTGGGAGCAAGGAGTGGGTGTCCATGTGCATGTGCCAAGTGACAGCTAGCAGAGACCAAAACGTTGGGGACAGGCCACAATTTAGCAAAAGAGGAGAAAGAAACGGATCAAATAAATAGGCCTTGACAATAGAAACCTAGAAACAACCCACAAATGGATAACGAGATGGGCGACGAGGCGGGCAACGAGACGGATAGCCACAGGCCTTCGGCCGTCGTATCCAGATAGAATTGCTGCACTCCCCACAATTCCGTCTTCTCCTCTGGTTTTCATACCAAATTCCAAGCTGCCGCGTCTCCCGATAGGGCTTACCTTTCCCGTCGGCCTGACTCTGCATTGGTAGGTTGAAGCTTACAAAGAGGTACCTCCTGCCAGACTCCCAGACACGCACCAAAGGAACCCAGAAGGTCCTCCGCCGGGCTATCGCTGCGTCCCTTGTCAGGTAGGGCTCCAAGATCCCAGACGTCCTTTTGTCCCGTCCTTTTATTTGGTTGAGGTGCTGGGGACGACGAGGCAGTGCAGTTTGATTGATCCCACTTCCCAGCGGGCCATTCCATCATCGTTCATTCCATTCCATCGTCACCCCGAGCTTCGCTCAGCCAGATTAACTCTCGGCACCCAGTTTTCCTGCAGCCTGCTCCACCCTGATCCGACCGGACCCGCCACGCCATCCACTGTCGAACCAGTGCCGTCCGCCCAGGCAGCGCGGCTTTCTACCTCCTACCTCTCTTGGCTGGTACCTGATCTATTTCACCAACCTGCCTCCAAATTCTCCAACTCACACTTTGCAATCCTCCCACCACGCCCCAGGTACAACTGGCCATCGAACACGCCCCAGGAGCTGCGCCAGAGTGCCCCCCAAATTGAGCAGCAGAGGTCGCGTCCAATCCATCAATTGGGAAGCCTTCGCCAACCATTCCTGCGATTCCACACACGGCCCCCGCAGCATCAGAGCACAGAACGAAAAAAAATAGCCCGTCGCCAGCCTGGAGCAACCTTCCTGCTTCCGCCGAGATACAGAGCTAACATACACACACGCAACGCTGGACCGCCGTCACATCGGTCGCCAGCCTACCGGCTCATCCGCCGACCCAACTGTCGAGGTAGCCACTCGTCCTTTTTATTTCTCCCCAGCTCCCCCGGCAACAGCAGCTTCTTTGGAAGTTGCTGTCGCTGCGGCCAACAACGGCACCACGGATCGCGTAATCTTCTACTCGACGGCGGCGCCTCCGTCACCCGCTCCATCGACCTCAGGCCACATCCCGACCCCACCACAGCTTGGACAGCAACAGACGCTGCAAGACCCGAACCTCGCCGGCGTCGCCCCTCCCGTCGGCGCACCCTTGGGCTCGTCAGCCGGATCGCAGCAACCCATCGCCAGCTGGAGTGCGCCCCCCGCGCCCGCGCCCATACCGGCGCCCTCGGTCACACCCTCGGTCGCACCCGTGGCCAAGACACGGGGTCCCAACCAGACCCCGACCGCGGCAAGATCCATGCCTCAGTCACCCGCACCCACGCTACTGCCGCCGCCCGAGGGCATCTACAGATCCTTCGAGGATCTCCTTACTACCGTCCAGCAGTTTGCCAAGGAGCAGGGCTATGGCGTCGTGAAGCTACGCGCCTCAAACTACCGCGACGGGAAACCGACCCGCTACGATCTCGTGTGTGACCGCGGCGGCGTCAAGTACTCGAGCACCGCTAAGAAGCGGAATCCGTCGACGCGCAAAGTCGACTGTCCCTGGCGCGCAAAGGCCGTCTGCGAGGTACAGCTCAGCAACCAGTGGCGCTTCGCCGTCCAAGAACAAAGGCATAATCACGAGCCGCGCCTTCCCGCCGTGCCCCCTGGCCAAGAGAACACACCCCTTGCCCAGACGATGCGAACCCTGATGAATAAGATCGACCGGCTGAGCCACGACGTCTCGCACGGCTTCAGTCACCTAGAGACTCGCCTAGATGGCCTCGAGAAACGCCTAGAGGCCATGGAGCAGAGCCAAAACAACCGCAACATCATGAACGCCATGGCCAACCCACCCCTTGACAGCCGCCTAACCAACATGGACACCAGTCGGATGAACAACATGGACGCCAGGGTCGGTGCCATGGAGCGCGCCGACATGATGAACCGCGCAAACGGCATGGATCACATGACCGGGATGGATGACGTGGAAGCTAGACTGCTTTCAACCTCGGTCATGTAGAGTATGGGCGAGATTGCTGGTCAGCAAACGCGCGGCTGTAAAGAAAGCACCGCGACGTCCTGTCAAGGCAGAGTAGCCTGCGAACCTCGGCCCCTGGAATACACAAACGCCACTTCATCAACAACGTACCTACCACCGCATCGCCTCCCATCCGGACCCGGCGAAGACATAAAGCCCGAAGCCGTTCCGGTAGGGCCTTATCCGGACCCTACCACCGTTCCGGATCTTCTAAACAGCCCTTGTGTATGATTTCCTCGGCGCGACGCCCGAGTTTGCCATTTGCCCCGTGCGAGTCCGCTGCAGATTGACAGAGAAAATGGAGCTTTCTTGTTTTCCTGTTACCTTCTCCGTTGCCCCTTTATCTATCCTTTCCTATCTTCCATTATATCGACAACTTGCTGTCGCAATTGTATTGGTATTGAGCAGCTTAAGGCCCGACTTTGAAAGCCTGTTTCTCTGCTCTTTTTTCTTTCCTCCTATTTCGGACCTTCTTTTCGTCATCTCTGTCTCTCCTTGTTGTGCTGGGGTCGGTCGGAAACCAATGGCGTTTTACTGAGTGGGATGGTTGCCATGTAACCACTTGTCCCATTCCACCTTGCTTGTCGGCCCAGACGGCCGTTAAAAAGACACCGACCGGGCGGCCATTGCCAGCCAAACTGGTGCTGTTTCTAGTTTGTTACTGGTTTGAACTTCGCTTTATCCGGGTGGGGTTATCAACACGCTCCTTCAGACCCCGGCGATGCGAGCTTTGTTTGGCATGATGGCCCGGCCGGACAATGGGCGGTGAACTTGGCTGGTTGATTACGAGAGCGGGGATTAAAGGGAAAAAAAGGGGGAAAGGCTCGGAGGGATCTGGGCCAAGTCAAGGCCAACGTCTGTCTGATGTGTGTGGGTTTTTGCGTGTTACCTCCGTGCATCGCTTTGTATCGTCTCTCGAATAGGACTACTGTTTTGGACGGGTATTGGACCAAAAGGAAGGGAACAAAAGCTAGCAGCTCTCTAGAATAGGCACTTTTGTCCTGGGCAATGGGAGCAATGATGGCTATCCCAAGATTTGGGCGAAGCCATGATGAGATACAGCCACAGTTACGCGACCCTCTGGGCGAGAGGATGTTAAAACTCGGGAATCCAGCAGAGCCACCCATGTCAGAAGTGTAGTAGAACGACGATGGTCACGGGGAGGGTCTAGGTTGAATGGCCGGCGTTCACTGGCCGACGATCGCTGAGAAGAACCGTTTCTTCTGCAGAAAGAGTGGGGCTAGAGGTATGGTGCGTTAGTCAGCAGACAGCCAATGAGGACGTGACCCACTCTGGGCCCTACCGACGTTCCTGCCACACCAGTTTGAATTCTGAAAATTCGCTTTTCCCAGAACCGAAGCAGAAAACAATCAGCACTTTTTGTCCTCTAGATTCTTCGACAATTCTCGCCATCAAGAGAACAAAACCGCAGCAATGGCCTCCCGAGTCACCTACCGCCGTCGCAACCCGTGAGTGCCTTCAAAAGCGCCCATTCCCGCTCCCTCGATCTCCCCCTCGCGCCCGATTTGCCCAGTTACTGGGGCCGTTGCTTCGCCCTCGGTGACCCTCTGGGTGCGGCGAGGCAGGTCAACCTGGGCACATCATGGAGGGCTCGCTTTTCTACGGCCGGGGAGAAAGCGAAGGAGGGCGATACCGAAGACGCTGGGGACCGGGACGCTGGCTGACGGTCTGGGATTTCGCTGCACAGATACAACACGTCGTCCAACCGGACGCGTCTGATCAAGACCCCCGGTGGCGAGCTCCGTGTCCTTCACATCAAGAAGAAGGGTACCGCCCCGAAATGCGGTGACTGCGGCATCAAGCTGCCGGGCGTAAGTGCTGTCGAAACCCGCCACATCCGACCACCGCCACAGGCACCACCATCGCAGCTGGGCTACGCACTCTTCGCGCGTCGGCACGAATCGAGGAACGGTGACAGCTGTCGCTCAATTGATTCTTGACGTGGATGCCGAGGAGCGCGGAATGGTGGTGGTCAACAAGCAGGTCTCCCGTGAGGTCTGGCGGTCGTGCTGACGTCTCCTGCTCGATTCCAACACAGGTCCCTGCCCTCCGCCCCCGCGAGTACGCCCAGATCTCCAAGCCCAAGAAGACGGTCCAGCGCGCGTACGGTGGCTCAAGATGCGGCAACTGCGTGCGGGACCGCATCGTTAGGGCCTTCCTGATCGAGGAGCAGAAGATCGTCAAGAAGGTTCTGAAGGAGCAGACCCAGAGCGAGAAGAAGAAATAAATACGACGCCATGGTACTTCTGCTGGTTTTTGCGCACTCTTTATTTTTCCTGCTCATGCGACGGTGCGGACGGATACGGACGGGCGGACTCGGTCGGACTGGAAGCGTGCCCGGATTATGGTCTCTCTGACGGCATGATATCTATGCTCATGGCCTGGTGTTCAATTTTTGGGGACAAAAAAGGGACCTGCGTGGTGCATGGCGGAGCATCACTGCTGGGCCCGGCGACGGAGTTTTTCCGCCGCTCTCTTTTGCTTTGGGAACCTGACTGCGTGTTTCTAGGGCTGGTTTTATTTCTCGTCGCCTAGCCTCGGCGGCCCGGAATGATGAAGGGTCGTCAAGTCGAGCACCGAAGCAGCCTGTGCTGCCGCTGCTTGTGCCATGTGTTGAGTGCAAATGTTCCGTCGCGCAGACAAGCTCCCTCTCCCTTCCCCTTCTTCTACACCCCCATCATTCACCTGGCCTATACTCTGAGATGGCAATTACTCCGTTTGTCATTTCAATTTTGTGTCGAGGAAGATCAATCTGAGATGGCTCACTACTCACCGCGGCTTCCTGCATCTGGTGGAAGCAGCGGTCCATCATTTGAAGCCCACACCACATCAATCAAGTTTCAATCGCAGACGTTGGCCTGGTTTGCGTTGGTATTGCGAACTGCCATTCCGTACCTACTTAATGCCAAATACATCGGCGTCCGCCTTTCAATTTGAATCGTCATATCTTGGACCTTGTGATGTGATGATTTGCTGCTTGTGACGTTGGCCGGGCCTTGCGGGTGGCTCCATGTTGAAAATCTAACCCTGTGAATTTCGATTTGATGCAGCGTCCAGTCCCTCATTCAGAGGTTGGAGCCCCTCTTACTCAGCTGCGGCGACACACCACACATTAACACTTACAGCTGTTCATGCTCCCCCACGACTCGCACATTGCACGTTGATGGCACCACTGTATCTATCCATGGCAACAACAGCCAAGACCAATCAAAGTTCCTTAGGCGACGAAGCATAACCGACAAGAGCTAGACTACGCACCCCCAGGCCGAAATTTGTTACTCATGGCCAACTCATATTTCGCCGGCACCACCGCCATGTCTCGATCATTAGTATGCAAAGCTGCCGCCGGATCCCAACCAAGGCTCTTTGCTTCTCATTTTCTGAAGGCGTCGGACTCGTCCTGCGCCACGGCACACAACCGCCCCTCATCTTCCTCCACCCGCCACATCACATGTGCCATCAGCCCGGCGAGGCGGAAAGAATGGCCACAGGCGGCGCAACATACAGCCCCGCCCACGGCAGCAACAGCAACAGCAGCAGCAGCGGCGGCGGCGGCGGCGGCGGCGCGCCGTAGCCTCCACATGACGGGGCCAGCCCGGGCCGGCGCCGACGGCAGGGGGCCGCAGGGTGGCGGCGGCGGCGAGTCCAGGACGGACATTGGCGCGCTGGACGTGCTGGCGGGCGCCGAGGCGCCGGCGACGGCGGTGGACGCGTGCCTGCCCGACGGCTTCAAGCTTAGCTCGGGGCTCACGGTCCGGGGCGGGGCCGGGCTGCTGCTCGTGGGCGGCGAGGCCTTTACGTGGCGGCCGTGGGAGTGCGTCGACGTCGACAACAACAACAACAAAAACAACAGCGGCAACGATAACGGCCGCCGCCTGCGGATGCGGCTGATCAACGACAAGGGCCAGTGGGAGGTGCCCGAGTCGGCCTTTGGCCTGCTGTCGCTCGTGTGGCCGCGCCCGGACCTGCTCGTCCTGGGCTTGGGCCCCGAGATGCGCCCGCTCAGCCCGGCCACGCGCCGGCTCGTCAGCGGCCTCGGCCTGCGCGTCGAGGTGCTCGACACGCGGAACGCGGCCGCGCAGTTCAACCTGCTCGCGACGGAGCGCGGCGTCGGCGACGTGGCGGCCGCGCTGGTGCCGTTCGGGTGGAAGGAGGGCGTCGGCGCGGCGTGAGGGGAGCATGGATGGGATGGCGCGCGGCACCGGCTCCCCTCGCCTTTGCTGATCGCATCTCTCTCGGGATCTATGGTTTCTATGGAAGTCAGCTCGGGAGCGCCGGGCCGGGCATGGAGACGACATGACGCCTTGGTGGCGATTCCTACGATGCCTATTCTAGGAACGCGAGGCCAAAGCTCATGTTCACTCACAAAAAAAAAACATCCAGAGGTAGCAGCAGCCCGGAGGACCAAGGAGACCCCAGTTTCAAATCTCGAACAAGCTCCATTCCAAAACCCCTACCATGCCCACGCCCGAGCGCCATTCTCATGTGTGCTGGTGTATTCAGTACCACCATGTCCTTTCGCGAGGGGGCTAGGGTATTAAACATCACGATGCGGGGTTAGGGTCTGGGTTCGGGCCTAAATCTGATGGGCCTATACTCGAAACGTTTAATATCCTATTCCGTGAAGTCCTTGATGCCCAGGGTTGGGAAAAAAGTCAAGAGTCAAAAGTTAAAGTTACTGCCCTAACTTTAAAAGCTAGTCACAGCCAGGGTGATTTTAGCCCGCGCAAGTAATCCGGTATATAGACGCACCAGATGGCCAGAGTTGGCTTTCCCCCTCTCCTCACGCAGTAACAATCTCTTCATACAGTAGCTAAGCAAGTGTTGCGCCGTGAGAAATACCTACCCAGCTGCTTCACCGAGAGTGAAGAGGAGATCATCAGGACCGAGATGCGACAAAAGCTGAAAGGGTCGTTCTCCGTTAGCTAATAGGTGCTCAGTGAGGGTTTCAACATTGAGGACATGCCTGACATGGGGGACATCGAGGACATAAGGGACGAGGACAGGATGTATTGGTTTGACTGGGCTGGGTTGTATTTTCGCCGCGATAACCTGCATCGTTTCGATGTAAATGTTTTATAGTCTGTTATTCGTAGCACTAAATTGGAAAGACGGGAGTCGCAATGCAAACAAGCCACAAAGTTGTTTAGGTGCTCCAAAGGTTGATGCAAGAGACGTGTTATAGCTACGCATATTCAAAATCAGGCAAAATCACATAACATGGAACAAGATGGTAAATGAACGCCTGACCACATATATCCAGATATAAAAGTCGGCCAAAATCTTTACGGCTTGGTCGCCAAAGCCCAATCCATAGGATGACCAGCGGCCTCGTAGCCGGCCGGTTGCGGACTAGCAGGCTCCTGACGCGAGCCCGCCGAGGCAGCGCGGCTTTCTTTGAGCTCCTTTGTGACCTTCTTCACGCCGTCCTGGACGTCGAGGTACTTTGCGAGGAACCTCCCGATGTCGGTGTTCTCGACGTTGCCCCTAATCTTCTCGGTGCTGGGGCCGCCCGAGCTGTAGACGTTGACGTCGACGGCCGAGTGGCCGTGGGTAGCCCAGCCGACGTGGGCGCGGAGGCTGATCATCTGCGAGAAGATGACGAGCGCGTTCTCCGGGTGGGCGACGAGCTGGTTCAGCTCGTCGTCGGCGGCGTTGGTGATTCCCAGGCCGCCCTGGACGAGGGTGCCGTTGATCCACTGGCGCAGGTTATCTCGCTGGCGGGCCGTCTCGTCGGCAGTGGCGAGGTGCTGGTTCAGCAGGCGCGTGAGGTGCTCGGCCGAGGCGCTGGCGCGCTTGAGGGCCTCCGGGTACCAGGCGTAGACGGGCAGGTGGCCGGGCTCCTGGACGGCGGTGGAGAGGCCGCCCGTTTCGTGGTCGCTGGTGGCCACCAGCACGCCCTCGGTGTCGCTGGCGTCGATGAAGTCGAGGACGGCCTTGAAGGTGCGGTCGTACTCGAGCACCTCGCGGACCTGGGCGGCGGGGTCGTTGATGTGACCGGCGTGGTCGATCCTGCTGCCCTCGATCATGAGGAAGAAGCCCTTGTCGCTGTCGGCCGTGGCCTTCTCGAGGGCGCGCAGGGCCACGCGGGCCATCTCGCTGAGGCTCGGGTAGATGTCGGCCTGGTTGCGGCGGTCGATCTCGAACGGGATGTCGGTCGAGGCGAACAGGCCGAGGGTGGGGATCTGCACGTCCTCGCCGCCCTTGAGCGAGTCAAAGCCGCTGCGGCTATCAACGTAGTTCCAGCCGTGCTTCTTCTGGGCGAGGCTGGCCACGTCGACGTTGTCAGCGCGGCAACTGCCCTCGGTCGTGTTGGGCAGGAAGTGGCAGCGACCACCGCCAAGAATAATGTCAACCACGCGACCGAGAGGACCGTCGCCGACCTCCTGGACAGCGATCTCGTCATTTTGCATGCGCATATCAACATGAGAGGCGAAGCAGGCCGGGGTGGCATCGGTAACGTCGGTGGTAACGACGAGGCCGGTGTGGTAGCCGGCGCGCTTGGCGGCCTCTAGCACGGTGCCACAGGGGTTGTGGTCGGGGAGGGTCGAGATGGCGCCGTTGTAGCTCTTGAGGCCGCAGGAGAAGGCGGTGGCGCCGGCGGCGGAGTCGGTGACCAGGCTGTTGCTCGAGCGGGTGCGGCTGGAGCCCCAGAAGTGGCGATCCAGGGTCAGGACGTCGTCGATGGGGAGACCCTCAACATGTTGGCGGAAACTGCGGGTGAGGGACAGGGACGCCGGGCCCATGCCATCCGACACCATAAAGATCAAGTTCCGCTTGGCCGGTTTCTGAGCGGAGGCGGCGTGCGAGGTGCCACTCGAGGTCTGCTGGTGGTGCTGCATCCAGACGGCCAGCACAATGACGGCAGCCGTGGCTAGCAGGGCCCAAACCAGCAGCAGCGTCTCCCGCACGCGGGAGGGCAGCCAGGACGGCGCGGCATTCTCGCGTGGGTATGAGTGGATGGAGCGGTGGAGCGCGGCGTCTTCCTCATCGGCAAGACGATCGGAGCGGGCCGAGTCGGCCGAGCGGCGCGAGTCGGCGAGGAGGGGGGTTTTGGACGAAGGCTAAATTCGGTTGGGATTGCGTCCGATTCCGCCGCTGTCAGTCAGTTGCACATGGAGCTAAAGGGCAGTGACGTGAACTTTGTTGGGCCCAGCGTCTGGGCTCAGCGTCTGGGCACAGCCAGTGAGTGATTGGGGTTGGAAAAGGGAAGGCCTGAGCGAGCGTGTGCGTCCAAGCCAGCACATACCATCTCGACGAGGTCGCCAGCGGCTGTCGAGGAATCACAACCACAACTACCACCTATTCTGGTTGCGGGTGAGGTACGGGTAAGAAGCGCGGGCTTGGTGATGCCCCGGCGCCGAGGTCTGATGGGGATTGGAAGAAGACTGACAGGCAGAGCGAAGACGGAGGCGGGCCTCGCCTGGTTTTGATGGCTCGCCGCTCTCGACAGGCGCCAGCGGAGACGGCCTCCCTGCCGGTGGGCCTGTTCGCGGCGTCCTGTGACATGTCTCGGTGTATGATGTCAGGCGGGCACTGCGGGTCAGGCAGCGCAGCTGATGCAGTGCAGTGCCGTCGGCCCCTGCAGCTAGCGTTGTCAACACCCATGTGCACGCCATATCGAGAACCCCAGACCGACCCCAGACCCCGGCTACTCCCCTGGCGGTCGCCTAGGCAAAGGGGGAACTATCACACTCTTGTCGGTATAATTTGCTAATCTTGCTAATCTTGCTGATCTGCCTCGACAGCCCAGAGCCTGACCCAGCCATGCTCGATTCGCCTCCTCGGCCACCGTCGGGGCCGGTACCTAGCACGAGCATGAAGAGCTGCTCGAGCCGCACCTCCCAAAGCGGGGCAGCCGGAGGGGACGGCCCCCGGCTGTTCCTGCCATTCCAGTCAGGCAGCAGTCGCACGTTGAGGCACCATAACAGGCGATTCGTTGATTACGTGGAAGGAAGGTCCCATGCCAGGCCTTTTTGGCTGGACGCCTGCCTGTGCCTTGCGCCAGGCGAACGCACTACAGCCCAGCCTCGCGACCCGATCTAACCGTGCCTCGCCGAGCTCGTTCCTGGAGGTCATGGCTCCTGATGCTGTGGCCGGTTACTACAAATTGCCATTTTCCTCCTTGTCTTCCTCACCAGCCTCAATTCAATCTGTCTGGTCGGATCCACCACAACCCACAAGCGAGGGAGCACCGACGCCCTGACATTTTTATTCATTTATTGAGTCATCTGTGTGAGAGAAATCACAGGTCTTCGGGAGGAGGTAGGTGATTAAATCCCTCCTACTTTCCCGCACGCCTTTTTATTTTGTCGCTGCTGTTTTGGACCGTGAGCAGGTTCTGTGACGTATTGTGTGCCCCTCCAACAGTAACGCCGTCGTTTTGGGGGAGGACAAAAATAAAAGGGGAAGAAATCGACAGAAAATCAGAAGAGAAAAGAAAACAATGCCTTTCTCGTCCGTCCGTCTTATCTCAATTGCGCTTCTCAACAGCATCCACATAACCTGGTACCTAACCCGAATCGACGGCACGGCCTGTTAGACGTCGCTGTAACGGGAATGCTCGGTGGCGACCCGTCACTGTTTAGCTCAGCCCAAGCTCGCATCGCGCAGCTGGCGGGCGACTCTTCGGCGGGGTGCCCGCGTTGGGTCCTGGTGCTGGCCCTGCTTGCCCCGGCTGTCTCGCTCTTCCTCGCCCGAACACCATCTGCCCGTCTTCGAATGGCCCCGCCATCGACTACATCCCATCCCAAACAGCCCCGCGGCAGCCCGGTCTCGGGCCAGGAGGAGCAGCAGCAGCTACAGCATCGCACCCACGGTGAGTCCAAGCCTACCCCCCCAGCCGTCTCCAGCGCCGCCCGCCGCCGCCCCAGGGTACGCCTGTCTGACGCATGAGCCCGCCCGTGCCCTTTGTCGTTGCGCCAGACCCCGCCGTGACAGACCCGCCGTTGCTGCAGAAGCACTTGGCCTTCAAGTCATACACTACCAGCCGCTTCACCTACCCGGCCATACGCACCGTCTTCCGTCGCCACTCCAAGATTGACGAGCTGCCCGTCTCGCCCTCGCCCATCCCCTTGCTCGTCTTCATCCATGGGCTGGGAGGGTCGGCCGCCCAGTTCCAGCCGCTCTTGACGTCGCTCATCAACGTCTCGTCGTGTCTCGTCGTCGATCTTCCCGGCTGCGGCCGCTCCGAGTTTGCGCCCACTGACTGGGATGCCTACACCACTGACTCCCTCGTCGAGCTGCTCGAGCTCGTCATCGAGGACTACCGCGAAAAGGATGCTGGTCAACAGGTCGTGTTGATCGGCCACAGCATGGGCGCCGCCCTCGCTGCCCAGCTCGCCAGCAAGGTCTCGCCCCGCCGCTCCGTCGTTTCCGACAATGTCCTTGGCCTTGTTGCCATATGCCCGCCGTCCCAACCACCCTCCGAGAAGCAGACCTCTCTCTTCCGGAAGCTGCTCTGGATTCCTACGCCAATTTTCAACCTCTGGCGCGCGTGGGACCGTAGAGGCGGCGTCGAGAGTGCAAGCGTGCGCAGGTTTGTTGGACCTGGCGCTGACCTCGAGGCCCGCAAGCGCCAAAACCGCTTCAACAACCAGAGCCAAACACGGGTGTGGCGGCGCATGGCCTGGGGATCGCTGGCCGTATATGGGAAGGGTGAGCCGCGGGGCGGCATTGCAGGCAAGCGTATATGGCAGGGCATTGACGTCCCCGTATACCTTATATCAGGGGCTGATGACCATGTCACCCCACCCGCCGATGCCGAGAGAATTCGTGGATGGCTTTCTGCCAACTGCTCTCGCCCCGAAGACGGACAGGGTCCCGAGTCTCGCACAATAGTCGCCTCTGCCGCCCCCGTTGACCTCCCGGAAGCGCCACTCCAAAGGACGGAGAGTCCAGGATACAACAGGGACGCAGTCCAAGTGGCTGCAGGGCTCGATAAACCCATAAGCGAGAGCGAGGAGCGGCAGAACGACCCCTCGACCCCGCGAGAGGATACCCCTGACTTGCCGCCGCTGCGAGCCTGCTCTCACCAAATGGTCGAGTCGGTAACGCTCCCGTCTCCAGCAACGCATGCACTGCTCTACACACCATCTACCGAGCGCGTCTTGGCGGGCCTTGTGTCGGACTTCCTCAGCACCAGTGTCAGTCCGCGCCTGTCACTGGGCTGGCAGCTGCAGTACCTCTCGAGGGAGGGCAAGTGGGACGTCAAGAACCTGGCCAAATGGCGGGAGGTGGAGCAGGTGTCGGAGCCCATAGCAGGCATCTTCCGGGCCATGAAGACGCTGCGCGAGGTGGACGAAACGCACTGCCCTGCCGTCTTTGTAGCAAAATGGGGTCACATCATCAAGGACGTCATCGACATATCGCATGATACGCCCGTGTACGATTCGCGCGGGCTCGAATCCGGCGGCATCCGCTACCACAAATTCCCTACTGTCTCAAAAATCCCGCCGACGGATTATGAGATCGATGCTTTTATCGCCCTTGTAGACAAGATCCGGGCGGAGCAGCAGCTGAGGCTGCAGAGCGAGGCTACCGACGCCGCATCCCGGGGCGAGGCCGTGGACGCACAGCGGAAGTATATGATTGCTGTCCACTGCCATTATGGTAAAAACAGGTCAGTTGGCATGCTCTTTCCTCATGGTACCAAGGTCTGCTTGGACTTGGGCTTGAATTTTGGCATGGCTCAGTACTGACATACGAAACCACTTCACCAGGACCGGTTACTTCATTGTTTGCTACCTGGTCGAGCGCTGTGGGTTCGACGTCCAAGCAGCCATCGACGAGTTTGCGCGAGCTCGGCCCAAGGGAATCCGGCACCAACACTTTCTCGATAAATTGCATGTTAAGTACTCTCTGCGGAGGAAGCGATAAAGCGCATCGATGGTCTGGTGCCTGTTCTTGGAGCATTTCATCTTTTTCAAGTAGTCGGTGTTGGCACTCACGTGTTGTCTATGGATATAATTCGAGTCGTATCATTATCGCTGTTGTTTGGGTTTCTGGTTTCTGGATAAGGGGTACACACAAGATCTGGTAGTACCTGCCTGGTTGAGTCCCGGACAGCGGGTGTTTTGTCTTGTTTGTAAACAGGTGGCGTTAGGGATTCATGAAGAATTGATATTGAGTTACGTGACGCTTCGAGGCTTGTATGGCACCCGCCTATGCGTTAAGCGTGCTCGACCACCTCCCAAACGTTGTCGCCGTCACGTAGCTCCTTTCCGACCTCGAGCAGCTCAGACAGCCGAGTAAATGCCTGCTCACAGGGCACGGGAACGGTGCCTATCCTCGCCGCCGCCCTCCAGCCCTCGTCCTCCCTCCACTGCCACCTCTCGGCTCCGAGCTCCTCGCCGACGCGTATCAGACCCTGGCAGTGTCTCCCCAGCAGCACAACCACGCCCCGCGCGCCCCGGTCCACATCCTCCAGCCGCAGGACCACGCACCTCGGCCCGTCCTCCACCACAGCCTCGCCTACGCCCGACGGCGTCGCCACCACCGCCGCCGCCGCCGCCGGGATGGCCGCGGGCGCCTCGTCGGCCCACAGCTCCTCGTAGTCGGCCTCGACGCCCGTCGCCGGGTTGACCATGCGGCCCTTCTCGAGCGTCTCGTCTCCCCCTTGCGGGAACATGTCGCCCTCGTCGGTGGCGGCCGCCGGGTCCGCGCCCGCCGGCACGCGCGAGTCGATCCAGTGCGTCCAGCGCGAGCGCGTCACGGCCTCGCTGCCGTCCGGGGTGGTAGTGGTGCGCTTCCACGACTCGGACGTTCCCGCTATTGCCCAGTCCAGCCGCGAGGCGGGGAGGACGACGACGGCGGGGGGCGACGGTGGGGTTGATCCGTCCTTCTGCTGTTGTTGCTCCGCCGCCGCCGCCGCCGCCGCCGCCTCGGCTGGTGTCGGGTCCAGGATCCGCAGGTCCACGAACCGCCGCGCCGGCGAGGTCAGGACGATCGTCGACGTCGGCTCCTGCGGCATGGCGGGGGGCCAGCGGATGTATCTTCTGATGGAGATGCTGCCCATGTTGGTGGTTTGCTTTTGGTTGCCGTCTCCTTTGGGGTATTCTTATGTCTCATCTCTCTTGTGCTGCTGCTGTTCGTAAACTGCTATGCTATGCCTGAACCAGCCGGATGGACTAGGGTGGTGATGCCGACGAGTTTGATACGAGGTTGTGCTCGGACGGCTGCCCTGTATGTTCATCCACTCACGTTGCTGTTTTCTGGAGCTGCCAAAGTCGATGTTTGAGTCAACCCCGCTCTGTAACCCAACTCCTGCCCTTTTCTTCTCCACGTATACAACAAGCCCCAAGTACGAGGTAGAGTCTACTCCTTCCGACTCGATCTGAGCCAAACGGTTTTCTTCGCCTCGGCACATCGGTTATTGTCACCTTCTCATACACCCAGACTTCATATTCACCCCGCTTGATACGGCCAGAACTGAACCCAAATAAGGCAGAGACACAGATCCGTGCGAAATAACAATTATACCCTACCCAGCATTCATAACACCTCGACGGGGCCAAACCAAGTCCAGAAGCCACCAGATCAAAATGCGGACCCATCCTCTCTACCTGTGGGGGCTATGAAGCACGCTTTTGTCTTCACCGACTGGACTGCCCTGCCAAGCCCAATGAATGCAATGAACCAGCTAAGAAACGACGGGACCGAAAAAAGAACATTTGTTGAAAGGAAACCCTCTACCCGCGCACCCCCAATGCGCCGCCCGTGAACTGGGTGCCGCCAGCCTGCCGTTGCGCATTGTCGATCCGTGGACCTCCCCTGCCGCCGCCGCCCCTGCCCCTGCCGCCGCCCCGGCCGCCCCTGCCACCCCTGCCGCCCTGCCTCTCGAACGCGTTGCTCGTGCCCTGTGTCCGCTGCTCTAGCGTGCGCTCGTTGGACTCGATGAGCGAGCTCGCCTTGTCCGACAGAGTGAGCGCCAGGCTCTGCAGCCTGCTGAGCTCGACGCCCTTGCGGAAGATGACCGTCTGCTTGACCTGGTCCAGCGCTGCCGCAAGCTCCTCGTGGCTAATCATCTTGCTGATCACGGCCGAGACCTTGACCGGGTCCAGCTCAAACATGGTGCTCAGCGTCTCCACGCTGAGCGTGTCGTAGAATGGCGCATACGTAAACAGATATGTCCGCAGACCCTCCTCCTGAATTTGCTTGGCCAGCATGGTCTTGATGGCCTCGGCGCTCGGCATCAGCTCCCAGATCTTGATGCTGTGGATGAACGTCGTCGCCTTCTTCCACTCGCCAGCAGCTAGCGTCTTGGAGGCCTGCATGACATGGTCCCTCGTGTTCTCCGGGGGGCCCGTGAAGATCTGGCGCTCGTGGTACTCGAGCATGCGGCGGTACGTCTTGCTGATGATGCGCTTCTTGATGTCCGGAGACGAGCCCGTCTGGGCCAGGAGCGGGATCTCGAGCAGCATGCTGCACGTCAGGTACACGCACTCCAGCAGCTCCAGGTTGATGTGCATGTGAAACGGCAGTTGTCGTTGCCTCTCCAGCCTCTCCTGCTCGGGGGAAACCTGGTTAAACCTCTGGATCATGACACCCTGAGCAAGCAGCTCCTTCTGCCGGCCGCTGCCGCAGATCTCCTGCAACGTGTTTTGTGCGTCGTACACGGGTCCCTTGCGGAACGCACAGAGACCGACCTGGACAAGCGTCCTGTTGTACAGAATCTGCGTCAGGACGTCGAAGCTGTTGATCGTCTCCTGCAAGTGCGACATGAGCATCATGTCTCTCGACTTGTAGTAGTCGTCGTGCAGCGCAAGGAAGTAGATCTGGCACAGCATCGCCCGTGCCCTGTGGATGCCCTCGCTGTTGGCGAACAGGTAGTTGCAGAGGACGTTGACCAGCAGCGGCGCGTCGACCGTCTCCTGGCGGGGGGTTATGCTCGAGTCGACACTACCGCCCGCCTCCTTCCAGCAGTTCTCCTCGAGGATCTTGACGACTTGGGAGGGCTATATGGGTTGTCAGGTTAGCAAGCGCTCGCGTGAGACGCATCCAGATCGGCCGCTTTCGAGGCCACGATTCGCGTTGAGCTTACCTTGAAGTAGACGTGGTCCAGACGGCGCATGACGACACGGTTCACGAGCTCCTGAAGAATCTCGAGAGTGGAGTCCTTGCGGAGACCCTCGTAGTACAGCTGGCCGCGGAAGATGATGTTGTAAAGAGCACCCTCGTCGGTGAGGCGCTCAATGTACTCTGAAGTGTGGGGGTCGATGGCCTGGAGGGATCGGGTAAGCTCGTCGTCGAGGCGCTCCACGTATGAGACGATGCTTCCGGGAACCTTGATGTACTTCTCCTCCTTCTCAAGCACAGGGGGCTTGTCGTCGTCCTCCCACTCCTCGGCGTTCTCAAGAACTATGTATTCCTTGTTCTCATCCAGCACCGTTAGCAGTAGCGAGAGCTCCTTCTCCGCTGCCTTCCAGTGCTCGACGGGAAGAGCGGTTCCAGTGCTGGTGCCGATGTCGAAGCGCGACGAGATAAGTGCGAGCAGAACACGGATCCTCTGATAGGGAGTGACGGCAATCTCTCCCAGCTTCTCCATGATCTTGATCTGCTCGAAGCGGTCCGTGTTCTTCTTGCCGCGCGACTCGAGGATAGATCGCAGGTGCTTGAAGATGCTCTCAGGGGTGAACTGCAGGGTCCGGCCACCCTTGCCGACGGTTATGAAGTCCCCGTCTTCCTTCTCGGCGTCCATGTCGGCCAGCCTGACCTTCTTGACGGGCTTTGGCGCAGGCTCCTCCTCCTCGTCGTCCGTGTCCATCATGTACCCAAACTCGTCGGCCTTGTACGCCTCGATCTGGGTCTGGTACTCCTTGTTGGTCTTCTTGATGCGCTGCTTGACCGCGTTCAGACCACGGGCGTTGGTGGCGTTCATCTTCTTGGGCGTGACCTTCTGTTTCGCCAAGGTCTCGTTCATGAAGTCCTCCAGATCTGCCAGGCATTTGATGTAAATCTTGGGCGTAGGGGTACCGGCGCGCAGCTTCTCAACCTGTCGGTTCAGCTTGTCGAACTCTGTGGGGAAACAAGGGGTTAGCCTGGGCACTTGCGATAACGTGCAAAGCAACAAACAATAGCTCATATGGGAGTGACGAACCGGTGGAGATGGAGCCCCAGTCGTTGATCTTTTGGTTGTTGGTGATGGTGGTGATGATCGCCTCCAGCTCTTCGAACCGCTTGTCCTTTGCGCTCTTCACCTTTGTGGTGGCTTCGGCATCGCTGTCGTCCTCGGACGAGGACTCATTGTCGGCCAAGAATTTGTTTGCGCCGCTCTTCTTCACGCCGCCCTCCTCCTCAGACGACGACGACTCATCATCGCCGGATCCCTCGTTGTCGGAGCCATCCTCGTCCTCCTGCTGCGACACCTCGTCATCTGAGTAGAGCTCCTCCTCGTCGGAGCTGCTCTCGCTCGAGCTATCATTTCCACCTCGGAAAAACCGCGACATGGTGGGCGACACGGGCGATGGCGGAACTGGGGGTATCGGTTTGGCGAGACGTTCGGCCGGCGACGGTGCTGCTGGCGCTGGATGAGAGCAGGCACTCCCTCCTCGAACTTTTTTGTGAGTCGAATGGTGGGGTAGATGGGGTCTATTTTTCCCTAGGGAAATCGAATTGTGTGCTGTGGCTTTGCGCGGGAGAGGGAGTTGTCAGGTGGGATGAGTCATCAGCCTACTCACGGGCCTTGAAGCCCACCTTATGCACTCTTCGTAGCACTCGGCCCTCCGGGCCTTAGCCTAGAACAAAACACCGCACTTTTCATTACCAATCACGCGCATTGGTTTTATGGCGATCCAGGCAGGGAGCACAGGGAGTATCAGCCTCCTACTTTGCCTGTATAGAACGATCAATTAAAGCCGAGAAAAGCACCATTACCAACCCTCCTTGGTGTTTTCACGGTTGCGTTTAGACCTCCTCCAAACCCCCATCGATCGCGTCACCGGGGCGCATCGCTAAACCTTACGAAAACCTTACCTTGCAAATCCGTTAAGCCTTATTCCAGAACGATTTATCCCATCCTTTATTGGATAGGTTGTTAGCCAAACAAGCCTTATTTTTAAGCCGGCTTTTATTTGGCCCAGGTTGGAAACCCGAACGCGATAAAATTTCGCCCATACATAGTTTTTACATTGCCGTTTATAACTTTTTAAGGCATTTCCGAAACCCTTTTTCCGATTGTTATTAGCTTTTTAAAATTTGTTAAAATTTTGAAAATTTTAAACCGCTTTTGGGAGCCACATATTTGCTATATTGCTCCAATTTAAATTACTTTTTAAGCTATTTAGCGCTAGTAACAAACCGGTTACGCTAATTTAATTAATTAATTATCGTTTAATTTCCAGTTAATAACGAGCTAAAAAAAAAAAAATTTGCGGAAGCACTTTACGCTAGCTTTTTCCTTTTTTTTTTTGCATATCCACACATTCCAGCACGTTATTTAAAATTTTAAATTACCACTTTTGCGCTAAATACTTTTTTTTGCGCTTTGTTAAAAGCTTATGCTTTGTTATTCCTTTTTCCGGCTAAAATTGGTAAATATTTTGAAATTCCAAAAAGGAAGCTTCGAAAATTGTTAAAAATCCCAATTAAAGGAAAAAAATTGCTTTCCATATCCTGGGGAATCCTTAAAATCTTTTTTTACAACACATTACTACCATTAACTTGGGAAAATCTGTCCAGCTTTTAATAATTTCCATTGCAAGCTGTGTGTAGCTTATTTTGCTTTTTGTTAATTTGCAATTAAATCCTATTTATCCAGCTCATATCTTTTTTTCGCTTTTTCTTTTTCGTTATTCCAGTCGTTACTTTTTTCGCTCTTAATTTTTGGCGGCGCGTGGCCTCGTGGTGCAGTGGCTTTGCACCAGGCCGGTCCCGCCAGGACCACGGGTTCGAATCCCGTCGAAACCACAGGACTTTTTGTTTTTAAGCCCTTGGCTTGCCAGGATCGAAACCGATAAGGGCCGATAAGCCAAATCAACCAATACTTACAACGCCGACACCGATAACTACAACAACCTTATCGATTTAACCCAACCTTATCGATTTCGATAGCAACCCCCCTTACTTCCCTTACCTTGGCGCCACCGCCTTGCACCCGTTCGCTACCACCACTAATCCGATTTCGAATGCACCCTTTACGTGCTTGGCAGGGTCACTACCCTGCACGTGCCACCAAAGGTTGGGGCCTTTTGGGGCACAAACAAAAAGAAAGATAACGCACGTGGTGCACCGAATAGGGAAACGCCGATAGCGGGCCAGTAAAGGAAAAAGCAAAAAAATAAGGGAAAAAGGGGATAAAGGAAGGGTTTCCAAATGCCCTGGACCATTTGGGCAAGCAGAACCAGGTTAGCGATTCGACCCCAAAGCGATAACGATTAAGGCCCGGCAAGCCTTAGCAAATTACATAACGAAGCAACTAACCAACCAATTTAAAGCGCAAAACGCGGCCTTGCCGGCCCCCTGCAAAGGGGGCTGCATTTGGAAGGACGGTTAATTCCCGAATGGAGCCCTTTAAGCAATCGAGCGTGGAAAAAAGTAAGCGTTAGCTAAAGCGGTTCAACACCGCCACGGAAGCGTACCGCCAGAAAGGCGGGAACGCAAGCATAAGGTTTTTCCTCCTTAAGCCCAACCCAAAAGGTTTTCCCCCATTTGCATATACTTAGCAACAGCACTAAGGTTTCTTTTATAAATATAATAACGTATAAATAAATAAATAAATAAATAAATAAATAAATAAATAAATACTTTCATACTTAATTTAACCGCTTTTGCCTCCCCAACCTCGCAACGGGAAAACGCCATTAAATACAGCAAATTTAACATTAAATTCAAACTTTTCGCTTCCGGCTCGCTACCGGACGTATGTTCGCGCGCAAGCGCGTTTACGGCGCGGTTGCTGGCAGCGCCAGCAACCCCGAAAGCGGCGGAACGGTTACTAACCGCCCTAAAGCTAGCAATAACATTATTATAACCAACGCCTTTAACCCTTTCCCAACGCGCACCCGCATCGCAAATTTAAAAAACCAATTAATTAAAATATTAAAGCCTTTCGTACTTTTTAGCAATACCAAATTAATGTTTAAAATCGTAAAAAAATAAACCAAAACCGTAATAAACGCGTTCGAAACGCGGTTTTGCAACTATTGCAATTACATGCTTAATTATTTTCGCATTATAAAAAACGAAATTATTGTTAAAATACGCAACGCCCGCAAGCAAATTATTAATTACGCTTTGGTTTTAGCAACCGGCTTGCCGTAAAGCGGCCAAACCGGCAACCATTTGCTTACAATTCGCTTTTACGCATTTTTTAATACCGGCCCCCCCCCCCCGAAATATATTTTCGCGCGTACCAAACGCAAAATTACCATTTTAATTAAAAACGTTCCTTTTAAAATCGCGAATTGCATACCCGTTAAAATTACCATTACATTAATTAAAAAGTTCGGCAATAACGTAAAAGCAACGCGCAAGCTTTCCAACGGTAACGTAATAATTTTATTTTATATAACCGTTGCTAAGCATACGAAAAATACCGCGTAAATTATTAAAATATTTAGCAATAAAGCAATATATTAAACCCAAACTTATAACGTTATAATTAAAAGCATTTAACAAAACGCAACCAATAATAATAACATTTTGCTGCACAAATTTAAAGCGCATAATATTAAAACCGAAATTAATTCCATTTATATATAAAATGCCCGGTAACCAAAAAAATACGCTACGGTACTAATTAGGATTACATTCCCCGCCGCAACCCAAACCGCATGCAACAACAATTTCGTATTTAAAAACGAAATCCTTAACGTCGAACCATTTGCAATAAAAGCAAAAACCGCCCAATGCTACAAATATTACGGGTAAAAACATAAATCGAAATTTTGCAAAAAAACGGCCCGTTGCCCGCATTGCGCCGGGCCATTGCATAATAACGGCAAAACCGGGAAATTTTTGTGCCCATCGTACGGGAATTAATTTATTGCAAAAAAAAGCAAACCAAAATGCTGCAATTGCAAAAGTAATTATTTAGCTTTTTAATAAAAATGCCCCGCAGCGAAAAAAAAAATTAAAAAAGCCAAAAATACATTTTTAAACCGGCCAAAACAATTTGCTTTAAAAACGGAAAATAAACGCGCACCCTAACCGGACCAAATAAACCACCTTACCGTCCACACCCTCCCGCTTTCTACATTTATCCGCCCTTTACCCGGCCCCCCCCAACCGCTACAGGAAAAAAATAACCTGCTTAATTTAAAATCGCTAACAAAACGCAAACGGAACGGTTTTTTACTAAAAATAACGAAAGCAAAAAAAAATTCCCCAACCAAAAAACGAATAAGCAAATTACGAAAATCCCGCAACAAAAAAACGTTAAACTTTTTTAAATTCGCTTCCAAAATAAACCAATACTTTATAAACCCAAATTTTGCCCTTTTCGGCTTTAACAAAATAACGGAAACAAAAGGAATAAACGAATACCGGATCGCTAATAACCCAACGGCACTTAGCAATACCGCAATTACCAATTCCAACCTTACCAATGCGCCAAACTATAAAGCCCCTTCCTTTTCCCCCAATTTACTTTTACCCAACCGTTTGCATTCCAACCAATCCAGCTTGGCCTTATACCAGCACCGTTTAGCCTTTTTGCAATTAAAATTACGTTTATTTTTAACCAACTAACTAACAATAACAATAACGTATAAAATTAAATATATTATATTAAAACATAGGAAAAAGCAAAGGGAAAAGCAACTTCCCCCTTTACAATAATAAACAATATAACATTTTAACCATTTAAAAGCTAAAGCGCAACCAGCACAAAAACCCTTTAAAACCGTACAATTGCAATTACAAGCTTATTTATTACCAAAAATTTAATTTTAACGCAATACTTTACGTACATAACCGTTTCGCCCCCAAATTGTAAACCGCCCGATACGGTTACGATTAAGCTTTAATTACAATTATTACGCCGGAAAGCCCATTAAAAATATATTTAATATATTTTTTAAATTTTAAAGCAAGCTTTAATTAAGCAACGCCCCTTATTACAATCGCTATTTACCCAACCCAAAAGTATACAATTTTTATAAACAATTTTAACCTTTACCACCCAATTTAAAATTTACATAATAAATATAACGCAAAAAGCAAAACCTTTTTGGAATTAATACGCCGCAAACAATTCGAATTGGCAACGCTTTACGAAAAAGTTACAAAAAGGAAACGAAAAAAAAAATAGCACAATTAACCACGTTTAAGCAACGCAATAATTCGAAATGAAATATTTGGAATAAAACAATACGATAAAAAAGTCCAACCATTTATCCCAAATACTCCGCGTTTTTTTCGAACCGTAACAATTCCAATTTTAACAAATTAAAAATTAAAAATAAAAAAACGTTAAATTAATAAAAAAATTAACGAAAGCTAAAGCCGAAATGGCCAGCAAATTAATAACAACCGGGAATATGCATAACGTTAAAGCTATAAATAAAAAAGCCAATAAATTAATGCAATAATTAACCCAATTTGCTAACCAGCTAACCCTTTAACGAAAACCAAGCCCCCCTAACAAACGCGCCCTTTACTAAATACAAAAATTTAACAACTTTTGTAAAAAAACGAACCGCTTGCAACGCGCTTTTATTAAAAACAAAACGCAAGCAATATAAAAAACGTACAAAACCGCAAACAAAGCATTCGTTAAAAAAAAACGCCAAACGATATCCAATTATTAAAAAAGCGTTATTTCCGCAACGAAACAAAATACCAAAAAAAACGGCGCATTTTAAAAATTCGAAAAATAAGCCCGCTTAAAAAGCTTTTAAAAAAAAACCCAAATCGGTTACCAAATTTAATTAAAACCGGAAAAAACCCGGATACGCTTCGTAACCATTAAAAAAAACCAAAATTTTATTATCCAAGTTTTTTCCAAACCTACCAATTAATACTTCCAACATTAACAAAACCAAATTTCCAAACTATTTTTTCCTAAATCCTTTCCAAATGCCCGTTTTCGTTACCCCGCAAAACATTATAAAAGCAACGGGCCGCACTAAACCGTAAAAAGCTACGGGCTAAAACCATTTCCCGAACGGGCTATTTAAAGCCGTTAAATTGCCGGGCGCAACCGCTATCGCAAAATTTGCTAACGCAACAATCGCTACAAGCTATTTCCCAAAACGCTTTAAAAAAACCTTTACGGTAATATTACCCAAACCAAATAAAATTACCAAAAAAAAAACAAACCGGGGAATAAAAGCCCATTGCTTTATTATTATTAATTTTAAAAGCCATTAAATTAATTATAACAAAATAAATCGCTAATAAAACGGAAAAAAAGGCATTTTCCCCAACGGCTAAATAAGCAACCAACGGGTTAAAAGCACGAAATTAGCAATCCAAAAAGTAATGGAAGCGGTAATTGCAGCATAAAACTACGGCGTTACCGCGTTGCTGCTACAATTTAACCTATCCAAAGCATTTAATACCGTTAACCACTTCCAATTGCTAAATACGCTAAAAAAATACGGCTTTCCCTTACCAATCGTAAAATGGGTAAAAAGGTAATTAACAAACAAAACGGCCATTTTGCAATTTAACGGCAACATTTCGAACCTAATTCCAATCCAAACCAAAATCCCCCAAAATTCCCCTTTATCCTTTATACTTTTTATTATATACATTGCATTATTATATAAAAATTTTAAAAACATTCCAAAAATTTTCGTTACCGGCTTTACTAACAATATTAACCTATTAGCAATAAAAAATACCGCAAAAAATACGGCCCGCCTTTTAAAAGCAACCTAACCGAAATACAAAGCATAAATAACCAAATACGGCATAAAATTTAATAGCACCAAAACCAAACTAATCCATTTTAATAAAAACGAAAACTTGCCCGTAATCCAATTCGGCAATACAACGGTAACGCCCAGCCAAACGGCCAAATTCCTTAAAGTTTAACTAAACGCCCGCTTTAATTTCAAAAAATACACAAAAAAAGCAAAAAGCAAGCAAAAAAAGCAACAGCTAGCACTTATTTAATTTATTTCGTTAACGTAAAGTAATACGTTCGCAAAAGGAAAGCTTTTTTACAACGTAATATACCGTACGGCCTTAGCATACGGCGCAACAACCTTTTATACAACCATACCGGCAACGAACCGCCCCAAAAACGCCGCCAAGCAATTTTAAAAAAAATAACGCGCGTATTTAAAAACCATTGCCGGGGCTTACAAAACCACTTCGTTAATTAATTTCGAAATTAAATGCTTTACCCCCCCAATTAACTTGTACCTAAACGAAAAAGTACTAAAAGCAAAAAAAAAATGGGAAAAATTTAAAATAAAAAACGTAATTCGAACCGGCACCAACAAAATGCAGCAATATTTTTAATAGCTAAAACATTGTAAAAAAACAAAGGTATTACACTTACTTAACCTGGCAAATAAAAACCGGTAAGCGCAAAAATAGGACCCGTTGGAACCCTTTAAACCCAAACCCGGCCCCGCCCCGGCAATTACCCAAAAAGCAACCAGGACAAAAGCCAATGCCAAAGCACAAAAATTAACGAACCAAAAGCAAAAAAGAAAAAAAAAAAGGAATGGCTTGAAATTAAATAAAACGCTAAATGCAAAAAAATCCGCGCTATAACAACGAAAGCGAACCCATTCCGGCCCGCAACCTTTACGAACAAACTTAATTTTAACGGTTTAATGCTAAAAGCATACCAAAAATTTACTAAAGCCCAAAGCGCAATAGCCATTTAATTAAAAACGGAAAAATTGGAATTAAAAGCGTTTTTTTAAAATAAAAACGTTTTTAACGTATATACGCCCCGTTGCCCGTATAAAACCGGGCAACGGGAAACAACATTTTACTTATTTATTAAATGCCTTTTTTATGCTAAATAAAAGATAAGCTCGGGCTAAAAAAACATAAGCTACCGTAAAGCATATTTCGAACAATAACAATAAAAAACAAGCATTACCACCGAAATTAATACGAACCAAAACGGCCCCTTTTTGCCCCCCCCCCTTTTTTATTAACAATACGTTTGGCAATTAAAACAAGCAAATTTAACAATTTTAAAATGGTAAGGAAAAATAACTAACTAAAAACGCAAATACCAAAGGAACGAACCGCTTTAAACAAATAACCCAACGCCAAATTAACAACCAAATACAATTACTTTAACCACCAACCCAATATAAAAAAGCTACAATTACACGCTTAACTATACCCAGTAATATCCAATAACAAATTCGAAAACAAATTGCTGCTTTACATATCCCAACGCGTACGAATTCTTTCCCGCGCCATTTTTAGCACCCGGTCGAAAAACGCCAAATTATTTTTATTATTACCTTATTCCATAACCGCTATATTTAATTGCTTACATAAATTAAAAAATGCAAAAGCAACGAAAACAATACTATTACCGAAAAAAAACCGGCACTTACTAATTGCTAAGCTTACGCAAAAACAAACTTTTTAACTTTTAAATCGTTAATAACTTTCGTAGCATCGTTAGCACGCGATAAAGCATTAAAAGCTTTTAAAGCGTAAAAAGCAAAAGCTTAAAGCATTAATACCATATTGCCGGAAAAGAACCGCATAAATTCCAAACCAATAATATTAACACTTATAAAAACCCCGGCGCCAAAAAAAAAAGCATCCGGAAACGGTTAAAAGCAAAACCAGCACCGGTAAATACCCCGAACTTGTTAAGCCCGTTTTTATTGGCACGCCGGAACGTATAAACCTTAGCAACCAATGCGTTGTAAGCCGCTTAGCACCGTACCATACCGTTAACAAACCGATAAAGCACAAAAAGCTAATAAAACTAAAGCAACTTACCAAATATTTGCGGCAATTATTTAACCCGAAATCGCGCATATCCTAAACTTTAAAAAGCAATTAATAATACCTAGCAAAAAGTACGGCCGCAATACGAATTTTTTTAATAGCAACGGGGTAAAGCTAAAAAAAAATACGTTAACGACCCGGCTAAATAACGAAAAAAAAAGGAAAAAACGATTTACCGTATTATACCGGATATTTTAACTAGCACAAAAATAACAAAACAATGCGTTTGTATTTAAAAAAACCAATAAATTAACAAACAAAAAAACCACCCGGAACCATAAAAAAAACGAACCAATTTTAAAATAACAAACCGTAACTTTGCTAAACCGCTTTTTCCCGTTTTACTTTTTACCCAAATTATTAAATAAATAACCAATGCAACCCATGCAAATATTACGCGCAAAATTAAATAATTAACCGGAGCGTAAACGAAAAAAAAAAAAAACACTTACGTTATTTAATAATAAAGCAAAATGCTTTTGGAAATTTCCGTTAAAACGTTTATTGCTTTGCAAATTATAAATTTATATCGCTAAACGAAAAAATTAAATTAAAATAAAGGAATAAAAACGATTTGGCGGCGAAAAAATAAAAAAAAACGAATTAAATAATTAACGTTAACCCGCGTATCGCCGCTATCGTTATTGCTAGCGCTAAAAAAACCGTTGCTATTATTAAGCATTTTTACCGGGAAAGTACGGAAAACGGGCCGGGCAAAAAAAGCGTTAAAAGCAACGGAATTGGAAAAAAGAAAAGCAATAATTACCGTTTAACCATTATTACGAACGCCGTTACCGCCGCGGCTAACGCGCTTAACAAAATTAGCCTTAACCGTGCCTTTCTTTTAAAAAAAGCCGTTAGTTAACATTGCAACCGATTAAAATTAAAAGTAAAATTGGAAATGGCCGAAAGCAAAAAAAAAAAATGCAACCAAGCGCCGAAAATAAAAAACGCGTTAAAAAAAATTAAAGCAATGGAAATTAACCGAAAGCAATGCAATAAAAAAATAACGGTTAAAAAAAAAAAGCATTGTACCAAAAAAAAAAAATTAAAAAAAAATAAAAATAAAAAAAGAAAAGGAAAAAAAAAGAAAAAGGAAAAAACAAGCAAAGCAAAAAAAGGCACCGGCAAAAAAGCAACCCTCCCGAACCCGCTTAAAGCTACCACGCCGGCAAAAAAAAGCACGATTACCTTCCAAATACAATTATTTACCCTTAACAAAACCACAAACACTTAAATAGCAAATACAAAAAGCACCGTTACTTTAACAAAAGCAACCAAGTACCGGGCTAACAAAAATACGTACAAAAACGTTAACAAAAATAATTATTAATACCCAATTACATAAAAAAAAATAACGATAAAGGATAAACCATACCATACCGAATACGAACCGTACCCGAAAGTACGACGCGGGGCCGGAAAGCGCGAAACGCTAGCCTTACGCAACAATTACCCGGTTAGCTAAGCTTTCGCCCATTAACAGCAATTGCCAAAACCACCCCAAAGCAATGGCGCTCTTTTAAAATTACATTTTTTATACGTTTTTTTTATAATTTTTTTATATATTAACTTTTACCTTTACTTTACCATTACACCCTTTTGGCCGGGGGCACGAAAACGCTTTTTTACCGAAGCATTTATTAGCAATTAAACGAACCATAATAAACGGAACCGGCGGTTTAATACCAACCCGGCACCGGTTCGTAAGCGCAAAATTTTCCTTTTTAAGCCAAACCCAAAGGTTTCCCCCACGCATTACTTAGCAATAGCACTAAAATTTCTTTTATAAACAAAACAAAGTATAAATATATATATATATATAAATAAATAAATAAATAAATAAATAAATAAATAAATAAATAAATAAATAAATAAATAAATAAAATTTTGGCGGCGCTTTAGCATTAAGGATCCGCTTTCACGCTTGTTATTTCCATTCGGCCTCGCGTTTAATCGGCCAAATCGGGCCCATTTCTTTCTTTCCATCGACCATTTCTTTTAATTTCCAACAATCCCAACAAACTTTCCCTTAATTTAATTATTAAAAGCAGCTTATATTTGCAAATAAGCGCGGTACAAAGCGCAAAACGTTTACGTTTTCGGGTTATAAAAGTTCCCCGCCTTTATTTTTAACGTTTTTATCGTTTATTTTTTTACCAATTTTACAATTCCCAAAATAGCTTTCCCTAAACCCATTTAAAAATTTAGGAGCTTGGTTATTAGGTAACATTTTTGCTTTTTTTAAGCCCGGCTTAAAAATTATTTCCAAATTAAGCAACGGTTTAATTTCGGAAAATTTTCCGGCTTTTTTAATTAATTTAATTGGATTTTAACCGTTAAACGCTATTGCAACCAAGCGCTTTTAATTAGCCGTTATTGCGGTAATCGTTTCGCTTTTCGAGCACATTACTAAATAACAAACCTTTCCAATTTTTGTTGCTTTTCGCCAAAATTTTACCCGTACCAACTTTACCATGTCCTTACATTTGTATACCTTTTTAAATGCGCCGTTCGAGCTAGCGCAAAATTATTTCGAACATATTAAAACGTTTGTTATTAACATTGGCTTTTTGGGTCGAAATTCGGAAATTAAATTAATGGTTAAATTTAAAGCTGGGCTTAAAAAAAAGCTCGAAAATGGTACGATATTTAAACCATTTTTACTTAAAAAAAAATTGGGAGCTTTTTAAAACGGCCTTTAAAAAGCGGTTTTTAAATAAAAAAATAACCAGAAGTTTAATGCTAAAATTAAATTATTGGTATCGAAATTTACAAAATTAGCCAATAAAGCTTTAACCATATACTTTATTAAAACCAAGCATTTTAACGCGCGCATTAAAAATGTTGTAACAAAATAAATTTTAATAAAACAAATAATTACTTAAATGGTAAACGGAAAGTTTAAATCCAAAATCCAAAACTGCATTTATTATTACTTATACGCCAAAAATTGTTTAACTTAAAACCGTATTTTTTTTTAACGGAATAAAATTTAAATTTTTTAAGCAAATATGTTTTTATTACGTTATTACGCTAAAAAAGCAGCCCGAATAAAAGAAAATGTTGCGCAACCTTTTCCAACCAATTTTACCAAAAGGCTGGTTAATATTATAAAATAGCTAATTCCGTTTATGGAAGCTTTTATGCGGGGAACCAAAAAAACATAAAATATAACCCTTTTCCCTTTTCCGGAACAAGCTATTTTTTGGAATAAATATTAAAAATTTAGGAATTAATATAAAGCAACATTTACGTATTAAAATTGTAACGGCTTTAAATACCGTTTAAATAAATGTTTTAAACCAAAGGATTATAACAAAATTAACTAAGCAATTGCCGTTATAAAAGCGCGCTGAAAAGCTAAAAATGCAATTATTTTAATTATAAAAACCAATGCATAACCGGTTGCAATAATGCAATTATATGTTTCCAAGGTTTTGTTACGCTTTTTACCATCGTTTAGCCATACCTTTGTTAAAAGCACGGGCGAAACCGCCCGGCAAAAAGCGGGGAGCGTTAAATGCACGGGCGAAACCGCCCGGCAAAAAGGAGGAAAAAGGCACTAGCACAGCCAGCCGGGCACGAACCCTTTCGGGGACATGCCGGCGAGCTACCGGTGTTGCGGCTAAAGCATAATGGCGAAGCTAAAAGATAAAATAAAGTTTAAATTGCACGAAAGCGCTTGGAGCGCAAAGGACTTAAAAGACCGACCCCGCGTGCCCGAAGGGGCACGAAAAAAAGGGAAGTTAAAAAAGGAACAATTTTTGTTGGAAATAGCACCTTTGGTAAAAGATTTACGAAAGCTTAATAAAGGAAACACCGCATCCGGCCCGTAACCCGGTAACTACCCGCCTTTGCACCGATTAACCCCTAACAACCTTTCCGTCCATTTCATACATTGCAATAAATCCGGAAAAAACATTGGCTATATTTAAAGCTTACGCCGTTAAAAGCGCCCAAAATTAAAACGCTTAAGCTAACCTGTTACAAAGTAGACAGTATATACTGTCGTAAGGAAGCCTTAGGCATAAATATTAGATGCTTGAGGCATCGGAAGAGCGGTCCCCCTGCCTGGAAGCGTATGACGCTTCCAGGCGTCAGGAGGGAAGCTTAGTAAGCAAGGAGGACAGGGAGTCACGTGTATATAAAGGGCAGAGGCCCCTACGGGACCCTGCACTTCAAATCCTTTCCTTCTTAGAGCATATCAACCGGAATAGCCTTACACCGTGCCTATCCCTTCTACCTGCAACATAACCTTATCGGCTAACCCAAAATAATTAAAGCAATTACATATTAAAAGTTAAATGCAAACTTTAAATTATTTAAATTTTAAAAAGCGGCTTTAAAAATTTCGATTCCAGCTTTAACCCCAAATGTATACGACCCAGCCTTTTTTATTATGGATTTCGGAAGCAACAATAACGCACCCATAGCCAATACAACCTTTCCATTTCGGCTTTCGGCCGAAAAAAACACCATTTAAATTAATAATTAATTTCCGGATTTTATTAAACAAGCAATAAAATTTATTAAAGCTTTTAGCAAAGCAAATAAGGACAAGCTCCTTTAAATTATTAAAGCAGCTACCGCTTTTAAAGCTTGCAAAACGCGAAAACGCTAAATCCCCATTGCTGGAATAAAGCTTAATAACGTTATAAACGTTGCTTAGGTTTTTTAAAAAGCCAAAGTTAAAATTAACGTTTTATTTTTTTTTAACTTATCCTTTTAAATAAAAAAAAAGGTTAGGAATTTTATAAAGTTAATTACGAAAGCTTTATATTTAACCAATAAAGCATATATTTTTATAGCCCGGGCTTATTAATTCGTAAGTGTTTTTCGCACCGCTTATTAAATTAATAACGTTTTTTTTTCAGGATAAAAGCTATGCTCGATTACGAAGTTCCTTTTTAAGCAATGCTCGACAATAAATCCACCGTTAATTTAATATCCCCGATTATATTAACTTGAACGGGTTAATAATGTTATATAACTTGCAACGGTTTTTATGTAAAATTAACTAACAATGCGCGGGTAATAATTTTAAAATTTGCTTGCATCGATTTGGTTATTAAAAGCATTGTTATACCTTTAATTCTTTAAATTATATATATTTATACTTTATTTTGTTTATAAAAAAAACCTTAATGCTATTGCTAAGTAATGCGTGGGGGAAACCCTTGGGTTTGGCCTAAAAAGGAAAACTTTGCGCTTACGAACCGGTACCGGGTCGGTATTAAACCGCCGGCTCCATTTACTGTAATTCGCTCAATTACTAATAAATGCTCCGGCAAAAAAGCATTTTCGTGCCCCCGGCTAAAAAAATGTAATGGTAAAGTGAAAGTAAAGGCTAACATATGGAAAAATTATAAAAAAAACGTATAAAAAATATGGCTTTAAAAAAGCGCCATTGCTCCGGGGTGGCTCCGGCAATCGCCGCTAATAAGCAAAAGCTTGGCTAGCCGGATGGTTATTGCGTAAAGCTAACGCTTTGCGCTTTCCGGCCCCGCGTTGTGCTTCCGGGTACGATTCGTATCCGGTATGGTATAGCTCGTCCTTTATCGTTATTTTTTTTATATAATTGGGTATTGGTAATCGTTTTTATTAACGTTTTCGTGCGTATTTTTATTAATTTGGTGCTTGGTTGCTTTCGTTAAGGTAACGGTGCTTTTTGTATTTGCCATTTGGGTGCTTATAGCTTTGTTAAGGGTAAGTAATTATATTTAAAAAGTAATCGTGCTTTTTTTTGCCGGCGTAATAGCTTTGGGCGGGTCCGAAAAGGTTGTTTTTTCGTTAATGCTTTCCTTTTGCTTTGCTTGCTTTTTTCCTTTTTTTTTTTTCTTTTTCTTTT